TAGGGCACAGTCACTCTGTGGAAGGGCACAGTCACTCTCTGTGGAAGGGCACAGTCACTCTCTGTGGTAGGGCACAGTCACTCTCTGTGGTAGGGCACAGTCACTCTCTGTGGTAGGGAACAGTCACTCTCTGTGGTAGGGAACAGTCACTCTCTGTGGTAGGGCACAGTCACTCTGTGGTAGGGCACAATCACTCTGTGGTAGGGCACAATCACTCTGTGGTAGGGCACAGTCACTCTCTGTGGTAGGGCACAGTCACTCTCTGGTAGGGAACAGTCACTCTCTGGTAGGGCACAATCACTCTCTGGTAGGGCACAATCACTCTCTGTGGTAGGGCACAGTCACTCTCTGTGGTAGGGCACAGTCACTCTGTGGAAGGGCACAATCACTCTCTGTGGAAGGGCACAGTCACTCTCTGTGGTAGGGCACAGTCACTCTCTGTGGTCGGGCACAGTCACTCTCTGTGGTAGGGAACAGTCACTCTCTGTGGTAGGGAACAGTCACTCTCTGTGGTAGGGCACAGTCACTCTGTGGTAGGGCACAATCACTCTGTGGTAGGGCACAATCACTCTGTGGTAGGGCACAGTCACTCTCTGTGGTAGGGCACATTCACTCTCTGGTAGGGAACAGTCACTCTGTGGTAGGGCACAGTCACTCTCTGGTAGGGCACAATCACTCTGTGGTAGGGCACAATCACTCTGTGGTAGGGCACAGTCACTCTGTGGTAGGGCACAGTCACTCTGTGGTAGGGCACAGTCACTCTGTGGTAGGGCACAATCACTCTGTGGTAGGGCACAATCACTCTCTGGTAGGGCACAGTCACTCTGTGGTAGGGCACAGTCACTCTGTGGTAGGGCACAGTCACTCTGTGGTAGGGAACAGTCACTCTGTGGTAGGGCACAATCACTCTGTGGTAGGGCACAATCACTCTCTGGTAGGGCACAGTCACTCTCTGTGGTAGGGCACAGTCACTCTCTGGTAGGGAACAGTCACTCTGTGGTAGGGCACAATCACTCTGTGGTAGGGCACAATCACTCTGTGGTAGGGCACAGTCACTCTGTGGTAGGGCACAGTCACTCTGTGGTAGGGCATAGTCACTCTGTGGTAGGGCACAGTCACTCTCTGGTAGGGCACAGTCACTCTGTGGTAGGGCACAGTCACTCTGTGGTAGGGCACAGTCACTCTGTGGTAGGGCACAGTCACTCTGTGGTAGGGCACAGTCACTCTGTGGTAGGGAACAGTCACTCTCTGGTAGGGCACAGTCACTCTGTGGTAGGGAACAGTCACTCTCTGGTAGGGCACAATCACTCTGTGGTAGGGAACAGTCACTCTCTGGTAGGGCACAATCACTCTGTGGTAGGGCACAGTCACTCTCTGTGGTAGGGCACAGTCACTCTCTGTGGTAGGGCACAGTCACTCTCTGGTAGGGAACAGTCACTCTCTGGTAGGGCACAATCACTCTGTGGTAGGGCACAGTCACTCTCTGTGGTCGGGCACAGTCACTCTCTGTGGTAGGGCACAGTCACTCTGTGGTAGGGCACAATCAGTCTGTGGTAGTGCACAATCACTCAGTGTTAGGGCACAATCACTCTGTGGTAGGGCACAGTCACTCTGTGGTAGGGCACAATCACTCTGTGGTAGGGCACAGTCACTCTGTGGTAGGGCACAGTCACTCTGTGGTAGGGCATAGTCACTCTGTGGTAGGGCACAGTCACTCTCTGGTAGGGCACAGTCACTCTGTGGTAGGGCACAGTCACTCTGTGGTAGGGCACAGTCACTCTCTGGTAGGGCACAGTCACTCTGTGGTAGGGCACAGTCACTCTGTGGTAGGGAACAGTCACTCTCTGGTAGGGCACAGTCACTCTGTGGTAGGGAACAGTCACTCTCTGGTAGGGCACAATCACTCTGTGGTAGGGAACAGTCACTCTCTGGTAGGGCACAATCACTCTGTGGTAGGGCACAGTCACTCTCTGTGGTAGGGCACAGTCACTCTCTGTGGTAGGGCACAGTCACTCTCTGGTAGGGAACAGTCACTCTCTGGTAGGGCACAATCACTCTGTGGTAGGGCACAGTCACTCTCTGTGGTCGGGCACAGTCACTCTCTGGTAGGGCACAGTCACTCTGTGGTAGGGCACAATCAGTCTGTGGTAGTGCAGAATCACTCAGTGTTAGGGCACAATCACTCTGTGGTAGGGCACAGTCACTCTGTGGTAGGGCACAATCACTCTGTGGTAGGGCACAGTCACTCAGTGTTAGGGCACAATCACTCTCTGTGGTAGGGCACAATCACTCTCTGGTAGGGCACAGTCACTCTCTGGTAGGGCACAGTCACTCTCTGTGGTAGGGCACAGTCACTCTCTGTGGTAGGGCACAGTCACTCTCTGGTAGGGAACAGTCACTCTCTGTGGTAGGGCACAGTCACTCTGTGGTAGGGCACAGTCACTCTCTCTGGTAGTGCACAATCACTCTGTGGTAGGGCACAGTCACTCTCTGTGGTAGGGCACAGTCACTCTGTGGTAGGGCACAGTCACTCTCTGTGGTAGGGCACAATCACTCTCTGGTAGGGCACAGTCACTCTCTGGTAGGGCACAGTCACTCTCTGTGGTAGGGCACAGTCACTCTGTGTGGTAGGGCACAGTCACTCTCTGGTAGGGCACAATCACTCTCTGGTAGGGCACAATCACTCTGTGGTAGGGCACAGTCACTCTCTGTGGTAGGGCACAGTCACTCTGTGGTAGGGCACAGTCACTCTGTGGTAGGGCACAGTCACTCTCTGTGGTAGGGCACAATCACTCTGTGGTAGGGCACAGTCACTCTGTGGTAGGGCACAGTCACTCTCTGGTAGGGCACAATCACTCTGTGGTAGGGCACAGTCACTCTGTGGTAGGGCACAGTCACTCTGTGGTAGGGAACAGTCACTCTGTGGTAGGGCACAATCACTCTGTGGTAGGGCACAGTCACTCTGTGGTAGGGCACAGTCACTCTGTGGTAGGGAACAGTCACTCTGTGGTAGGGAACAGTCACTCTGTGGTAGGGCACAATCACTCTGTGGTAGGGCACAGTCACTCTCTGTGGTAGGGCACAATCACTCTGTGGTAGGGCACAGTCACTCTCTGTGGTAGGGCACAGTCACTCTGTGGTAGGGCACAATCACTCTGTGGTAGGGCACAGTCACTCTGTGGTAGGGCACAGTCACACTCTCTGGTAGGGCACAGTCACTCTCTGTGGTAGGGCACAATCACTCTGTGGTAGGGCAGAATCACTCTGTGGTAGGGCACAATCACTCTGTGGTAGGGCACAGTCACTCTCTGTGGTAGGGCACAGTCACTCTCTGTGGTAGGGCACAGTCACTCTGTGGTAGGGCACAGTCACTCTGTGGTAGGGCACAGTCACTCTCTGTGGTAGGGCACAGTCACTCTGTGGTAGGGCACAATCACTCTGTGGTAGGGCACAGTCACTCTCTCTGGTAGGGCACAGTCACTCTGTGGTAGGGCACAGTCACTCTCTGGTAGGGAACAGTCACTCTCTGGTAGGGCACAGTCACTCTGTGGTAGGGCACAGTCACTCTGTGGTAGGGCACAGTCACTCTGTGGTAGGGAACAGTCACTCTCTGTGGTAGGGCACAATCACTCTCTGGTAGGGAACAGTCACTCTCTGTGGTAGGGCACAGTCACTCTCTGTGGTAGGGCACAGTCACTCTGTGGTAGGGCACAGTCACTCTCTCTGGTAGGGCACAGTCACTCTGTGGTAGGGCACAGTCACTCTGTTGTAGGGCACAGTCACTCTCTGGTAGGGCACAGTCACTCTGTGGTAGGGCACAGTCACTCTCTGGTAGGGCACAGTCACTCTCTGGTAGGGCACAGTCACTCTGTGGTAGGGCACAGTCACTCTGTGGTAGGGCACAGTCACTCTCTGTGGTAGGGCACAGTCACTCTCTGGTAGGGCACAGTCACTCTGTGGTAGGTAACAGTCACTCTCTGTGGTAGGGCACAATCACTCTGTGGTAGGGAACAGTCACTCTCTGTGGTAGGGCACAGTCACTCTCTGTGGTAGGGCACAGTCACTCTCTGTGGTAGGGCACAGTCACTCTCTCTGGTAGGGCACAGTCACTCTGTGGTAGGGCACAGTCACTCTGTTGTAGGGCACAGTCACTCTGTGGTAGGGCACAGTCACTCTGTGGTAGGGCACAGTCACTCTCTGTGGTAGGGCACAGTCACTCTCTGGTAGGGCACAGTCACTCTCTGTGGTAGGGCACAGTCACTCTATGGTAGGGCACAGTCACTCTCTGTGGTAGGGCACAATCACTCTCTGGTAGGGCACAGTCACTCTCTGTGGTAGGGCACAGTCACTCTGTGGTAGGGCACAGTCACTCTGTGGTAGGGCACAGTCACTCTCTGTGGTAGGGCACAGTCACTCTCTGTGGTAGGGCACAGTCACTCTCTCTGGTAGGGCACAGTCACTCTGTGGTAGGGCACAGTCACTCTGTTGTAGGGCACAGTCACTCTGTGGTAGGGCACAGTCACTCTGTGGTAGGGCACAGTCACTCTCTGGTAGGGCACAGTCACTCTGTGGTAGGGCACAGTCACTCTCTGTGGTAGGGCACAGTCACTCTGTGGTAGGGCACAGTCACTCTCTGGTAGGGATCAGTCACTCTGTGGTAGGGCACAGTCACTCTCTCTGGTAGGGCACAGTCACTCTCTGGTAGGGATCAGTCACTCTCTGGTAGGGCACAATCAGTCTCTGGTAGGGCACAGTCACTCAGTGTTAGGGCACAATCACTCTCTGGTAGGGCACAATCATTCTCTCCAGCAGCACAAGTAGCCTTCAAACATAAGACAGGGCAAGGTATATCTGATATACCAAATTTGTGTCTCCAATTGACATATCCAATTGTAAAAATACAATATATGTTGCATGCTATATTAGTGCATGCTGTTAAAGTAGCAGGATAGTAGTAAGTGTTGTATTAATGATGGAATGACCATGTCATTATATACCAGACTCCACTGGTGTCGGCCACTGATGCTGACAGTATCCGGGAGGACCTGACGTACAGGTTGGAGGGACCAGGGGGTGACCTGTTTGACCTTGACCCTGTGACAACGCGGTTGCGTCAGAAGACAGCTGGGAGCCTTGACAGTGACACTCACCAGCAGTACAACCTAACAGTATGTGCCGCTCTCTACTCCCATCTACACAATTACATGTGCCTCTCTCTACTCCCAACTATACAGTTACATGTGACGCGATTTATTTGAACTCAGCAAAAAACTATTTTACACCCCTGACCTAACAGGATGACGGTTTATACACTCATCGAAAAAAGAAACGCACAGGTAGATTTTTAGTAAATTTATTGTACCTGATAAAGTCAATATATTTTATCTGATATCATAGATACAAATATGAAATTTTGGGGCTCGATAGTCACATGTTGTCTTTGAACAAAGGCATTGAGAACTGTTCATTGTCATGTCACATAAGGCCACAAGGTAGCGCTGAACTCAGTATCTCGTGTGACAGCCCCAGGCAGCAATCACAGCTCTGCATCTCCTTGGCACTGACTGGATAAGTGTACAAATTCTGTCCTGCAGAATTCTGCACCATTCTGCTTCTAACACGTTGGCCAGTTGTGTGAGTGTCTGCAGCGTGTTCTGACCTTGATGTACACATCGATCGAGTTCGAGGTGTTCGATTTGGTTGAGATCTGGGGATCTTGACGGCCAGGGCAAGACGTTGATATTGGCATTATGAAGGTAGTCTACCATGACACTAGCTGTATGCAGTGGAGTGTTGTCCTATTGAAACAGCTGCCTCTGGCGGTCAATGATTGGAAGAAGGTGAGCTTGAAGAATTTGATTCATGTCGCGATTTGCTGTCAAATTTCCCTGAACCACAACCAAGTCAGATCTCGTGTAGGATATGGCCTCCTACACCATAAAACTACCGCCACCGAATTTGTTAAATACACGTACACAATGTGGGGCAAAACGCTCATTTCGACGACGATAAACACGTTGTCTTCCATCTCGCCGGTGAAGAAGAAATCATGATTCATCACTAAACCATACTCTTCTCCAGTTTCCCAAATGCCAAGGCTGTAAAGTATGGCACCAACCCAAACGTTGCTGTTGAAGGCTGTGTTGCAAAACAGGGACGATAACTGGTCTTCTGGGTCGGATTCCAGCCTCGCGAAGATGGCACCTGACAGTCTGGTCCGATATCCTCCTCAAACCAGGGATGCGTCCTGCAGTCTCCGTAGCTGTGGCATTGCAATGACGTAGGTGGAACAGTCAAATGTAGCGATCCTGTGCAGGGGTGGTAACTCTTGGTCGTCCGGTTCTCAGACGGTCTGCAGTGGAATTGAACTCTGTGTATCGGTCACAAAGGCGGCAAATAGTTCTGTGGTGTACGTTGAAGTGACATGCAACAGAAGACTGCGATTTCCCTCTTTGGATACGTCCTATGGAGATGTTGCAATCGGCAGCACTGAGTCTCTGATTTTCGAACTTTGCTTTACTGTTTTCATCCATGACATTTTTTAACAAGTGTGAAAACAATGCTGTTTAAGACTGGGTTTTGACTCACCGTTTGTCGAATATCAGGCCACCAACATTTTCAATAACATATATCCAATTCATAAACCGGATTTTTGGTGTAGTCAGGTTCAGTGAACTACATACTACCCGTGGGTTTCTTTTTTTCAAGAGTGTATAGATATGCCAAGGAATTCTGTCCGTCCAGCCGAGAATATTTTTGTGTGTGACCTATAACTTGAAAACTACTACAAAGATTTTTTTCAAACTTTGTGAACACTTTTATGCCTATAGAAGATATGCAGTGTCAAGTTTTATTTCAATATTTGGAGTTTCTGAAAAAAATATTAACTTAGAATTTTTTTACTTCAACATTTGTGTGACCTATAGCTTGAAATTTGCTTCATGGATTCTTTTCAAATTTAGGGAACAGTTTCCATACTTATAGAAGATGTGCTGTGCAAAGTTTAATTTTGATATGTGTATTTTGGAAAACAAATATGTTTTTTCTTTACTTCTACATTTGTGTGACCTATAACTTAAAAACTACGTCATGGATTCTTTTCCAATTAGGGGTACAGTTTCTATACCAATAGGAGAGGTGCAGTGCAAAGTTTGATTTCGATAAGTGGACTTTCTGAGAAAATATTGCTGTTTTCATGTTTTGAACTTAGAAATATGTTTGAGGCGAAGTCAAAAGAGGAAAAAATTACAAAATGAAAAACATCTTTAATTTTTCCGATGAAAGCAAACTTATCTGTTCAACACAAAAATGTTATGTGCACAAAAGATTAAATTATCAGAACAAGATGCAAGATGATGTCAGCAATAACATACATGTGGCATCTCTACCCTATTCCCCATACATAAGCATATTTAATTGCAAAAATAAATTGTTTTTTCCAATCGAGTTCACGCCACTCCTTTTTGTGTCAAAACATCTCCTCATTGTCTGAAGAGGGAATGACGATCTTTTCACGAGATGCATGGTATATCCCATTTGTTATAAACTTTTTGTGTAGTTGTCTCCCGGAAAATTACGTTATTTCATTACAAATGTAAAACCTTGAAACATACATTCTCCCTACCTAGCACACACCTCCACCCCTTGTAATTGCGACTTAAAAAGTAGTTTTGTGTTTACCAAATCTTTAAAAATATAATCAAAAGTAACAAAAAACATTTGAGGTATCAAACATTCTATATCATACATTTGGATATTCTTGAAATTCTATATCATACATGTGAATATTCTTGAGAGCAACCCGACTGCTGTTTGAAGCAAAAGAATACCCGCTGGTCAAGTAACAAAAGTGGCGCTTTTCGAAATGAAGACTCTCGATTGACAAGTTAAACAAGACATTTTCATGAGAATAACAAATGGGCAAGAAGCAATATTAACTCCATAAATGACTATCTGTCATTTTTATTTTGCCTTGTCAATGTGGAACTAAAGTGAAAAGGAAGTCAACAGTTTGTGTACGGGCTAGACAATTACGATAAAAGGGAGATAATTAAACGTAATGTTCATTGCAGTTAAATGTCAAGTGTTCACTTTTCCCAACTTTCACACTGAAGTTTAGGAGAAATGATGATTCTCCACATCTCTGTATTAGATTAGTTGACAGCAAGGAAATCTCAGAAGGCACTCACACACTTGTACCCACCCATCCACCCATCTACCCACCCATCTACCCACCCATCCATCTACCCACCCATCTACCCACCCACTCACTAGTTCACTGACCTGTGAAGATCTGTGGTAGAAGAGGTCTTCAGCAACCCATTCTTGTCATAAAAGGCAACTATGCGTGTTGTATGAGGCGACTAAAGTGATTGCTAGGTCAGGCTCGCTGACTTGGTTGATGCATGCCATCATATCCAAATTGTGTGGATCGACGCTTATGATGTCAATCACTGGATTGTCTGGTTCAGACTTGATTATTTACAGACCACCGTCATATAGGTGAGCGTGGCAAACTGAGTAGGATCCTCTCTACCCATGGGGTTGACATTATTTTGTCTCTGGCACTCTGGCATTCATATTCTCCAGCTGGTGGTATCAGATGGTGAACATGAGACGACTGCAGACCTGCTCGTGATGGTGGCAGACACTAACGATAATGCCCCCAGCTTCCTGCCCACGACCGAGCTACGTGTTGACCCTGAGGAGAGAGTGGGGACAGTAGTGGGGAGGGTGCAGGCTGTTGACAGGGACACCTCTCCTGGGAACGGGGACATCGCCTACTACCTCCAGGGTGGGGGCCTGGACAAGTTCTCCGTTCACGCCCACACAGGTAGGTGTGTTTTGTGTGTGTGTTGTTTGTGTGTTGTTTGTGCGTTGTCTGTGTGTTGTTTGACTGTTGTTTGTATGTTGTTTGTGTGTTGTCTGTGTGTTGTTAGTGTGTTGCCTGTGTGTTGTTTGTGTGTTTGTATGTTGATTGTGTGTTGTTTTGTCTCATTGTAACTTTTAGTATTGACGTAAGACATGGTAAAAGGTGATAAGAACATGCCTTGTTTGTCAAAGCATCATTTGATGAAGAAAAAAGATGTCTAATTGTCAAGTCTGAGAATTACTTATCAGCTCTATATCATGCCAGATCTAACTGACCATTCAACAAGAGTGAGTGAGTGAGTGAGTATGGTTTTACGCCGCTTTTAGCAATATGCCAGCAATATCACAGCAGAGAACACCAGAAATGTGTTCCACACATTGTACCCATGTCAGGAATCGAACCCGGGTCTTCCGTGTGACAAGCGAACGCTTTAACCACTAGGCTACCCGACCGCCCCTCATTCAACAAGAATTAACAATTTCTTACTGGGATACAATACTGTATCGCCGTACCAAGAAATACCAAACAGTCTGTGACATAACCTGTATATAAACTAGCCACATTGTCCGCAGGGGAGATAACCCTTGTGGCTATCGCTGTATCGTTACACCACTAAATACAAACAGTCTGTGACATAAGCTGTATATAAACTATCAACATTGTCCACAGGGGAGATAACCCTGGTGGGAGGGCTGCTGGACACCCCCTACAGAGAAGAGTATCAGCTTCAAATAAGAGCTGTGGACTTTGGTCAGCCCCAGATGTCTGACTCTACAGTTCTCACAGTGATCGTTCCCCTCAACAAGCCCCCCCAGGTGGCGGCCGAGACTATATTCAGGGTGGATGAGGATCAGCCTGTGGGGACAGAGATCGGTGATGTGATGGCTTCCGACCCTGACAGGACACCCCACCTGGTGTATGAGATACGGGACTCGGACAGTGAGTATATGTGGTGTGGACAGAGATAGGTGATGTGATGGCGTCTGACCCTGATGGCACACCCCACCTGGAGTATGAGACACCCGACTCGGACAGTGAGTATACGTGGTGGGGACAGAGATAGGTGATGTGATGGCGTCTGACCCTGATGGCACACCCCACCTGGAGTATGAGACACCCGACTCGGACAGTGAGTATTCATGGGTGGGGACAGAGATCGGTGATGTGATGGCGTCTGACCCTGATGGCACACCCCACCTGGTGTATGAGACACCCGACTCAGACAGTGAGTATGCGTGGTGGGGACAGAGATAGGTGATGTGATGGTGTCTGACCCTGATGGCACACCCCACCTGGTGTATGAGATACCCTACTCGGACAGTGAGTGTACGTGGGTGGGGACAGAGATAGGTGATGTGATGGCGTCCGACCCTGATGGCACACCCCACCTGGTGTATGAGACACCCGACTCGGACAGTGAGTATACGTGGTGGGGACAGAGATAGGTGATGTGATGGCGTCTGACCCTGATGGCACACCCCACCTGGTGTATGAGACACCCGACTCGGACAGTGAGTATACGTGGTGGGGACAGAGATAGGTGATGTGATGGCGTCTGACCCTGATGGCACACCCCACCTGGTGTAGGAGACACCCGACTCGGACAGTGAGTATACGTGGTGGGGACAGAGATCGGTGATGTGATGGCGTCTGACCCTGACGGGACACCCCACCTGGTGTATGAGATACCCGACTTGGACAGTGAGTATACGTCGGTGGGGACAGGGATAGGTGATGTGATGGCGTCCGACCCTGACGGGACACCCCACCTGGTGTATGAGATACCCGACTCAGACAGTGAGTATACGTGGTGGGGACAGAGACCGGTGATGTAATGGCGTCTGACCCTGACGGGACACCCCACCTGGTGTATGAGATACCCGACTCAGACAGTGAGTATGCGTGGTGGGGACAGAGATAGGTGATGTGATGGCGTCTGACCCTGACAGGACACCCCACCTGGTGTATAAGATACCCGATTTGGACAGTGAGTATACGTGGGTGGGGACAGAGATAGGTGATGTAATGGCGTCTGACCCTGATGGCACACCCCAGTATTGTAGCACACTTGACCCATTTGCCACCACAGTGCCGTCTTTTTCCAATGTCACAATGCTAATATTATGTGTTAAAATGACACTGTTTGAAATTAAGTTACATATGATTGAAATAAGCGGCCATGTCACAGACACAACTGGGAATTGCCATTGACTTAATACTTAGGAAAACGTGAAATCTTTTGTTTCTAGCAGTGGTGATAATGTGAAATTGAGCAATTTCCAAATTCATGGATTTGATTTCGTATATCGAGGGCATAATAGTATGAGGTCTCAATTTTAAATGTAAATCTACATGTATGTCGAATTCTCATTTGGAAGATTCGTTTTGATTCGTTGATAACTTCAATCACATGCTGTGAGGGTGATGGACGAGGTGATGCTATGGGGGCAATGGGTGCAGGTTATCCATCCATATACAATAAAGATCTACCACACAGTTAATATTCCATTCCAGTGCCATTCCAAATCAACCAATCAGGCACCATCTCCGTGACGATGAAGCTGGACAGTGAAAGAAGAGACAAGTACATGTTCACTGTGCTTGTGGTGGATGCAGGCACTCCCACACACACAGCTACGACCACAGCCACCATCTACGTCGATGGCGTCAACGATGAGAAGCCTTTGTTCTCCCACACCATGTACACAGCATTGGTCGAGGAAAACCTTTCTCTGGAGGCGTCCCTCAAACCGATACCTATTGTGAGTAACTCATGTTTACACATATACATGGTATGAGTAGGGGTGTCAAGATAAATTGGAATATAAATATATTGCTATTGGTAAGCACTTAAAGTCAATAAATCGATTGTTTAATCAGTTTCCGATCAATAGTGTCGATTTCAGTTAGGAATAACAATAGTTTGGATTGTATTTACCATATCATGCGATTGAGTCACCAAAACACGCTCGCGAACACAGCCGAGTGAGGATTAGAGTTAATTGCCCTTGATGCTTAGCAACCGGTCTTTCTTAAAGTAATATGGCGGAGGGTGACAGTCAAGTAGAGTTTGTGACAGACTTGGGTGGAAAATCGAGTGTTTGGAAGTCTTATGGTTATCACATGCTTATAATATCAATAGTTATCGCAGCAGTTTCTTTCAATATCAATAGTTATCGCAATAGTGATTTTCAAACCAATAGTAACCCCTAGTTATGAGAGTTTCACGATCAAACCTACACCTGTTGTAATTTATAATCAAACTTATACCTGTTATAAGTGTTTCACGATCAAACTTATACCTGGAGTAAGTCATGATCAAACTTATACCTGTTATAAGTGTTTCACGATCAAACTTATATCTGGTGCAAGTCATGATCAAACCTATACCTGGTGTAAGTCATGATCAAACTTATACCTTTTGTAATTTATGATCAAACCTAAACCTTGTGTGAGTCATGATGAAACCTACACCTTGTGTGAGTCATGATCAAACCTACACCTTGTGTGAGTGATTCATGATGAAACCTACACCTTGTGTGAGTCATGATGAAACCTACACCTTGTGTGAGTCATGATCAAACCTACACCTTGTGTGAGTCATGATCAAACCTACACCTTGTGTGTGTCATGATCAAACCTACACCTTGTGTGAGTCATGATGAAACCTACACCTTGTGTGTGTCATGATCAAACCTACACCTTGTGTGAGTCATGATGAAACCTACACCTTGTGTGAGTCATGATCAAACCTACACCTTGTGTGAGTGATTCATGATCAAACCTACACCTTGTGTGAGTCAGGATCAAACCTACACCTTGTGTGAGTGATTCATGATCAAACCTGCACCTTGTGTGAGTCATGATCAAACCTACACCTTGTGTGAGTGATTCATGATCAAACCTACACCTTGTGTGAGTCATGATCAAACCTACACCTTGTGTGAGTGAGTCACGATGAGACCTACACCTTGTGTGAGTCATGATCAAACCTACACCTTGTGTGAGTCATGATGAGACCTACACCTTGTGTGAGACATGATCAAACCTACACCTTGTGTGAGTCATGATCAAACCTACACCTTGTGTGAGTGATTCATGATCAAACCTACACCTTGTGTGAGTCATGATCAAACCTACACCTTGTGTGAGTGAGTCACGATGAGACCTACACCTTGTGTGAGTCATGATCAAACCTACACCTTGTGTGAGTCATGATCAAACCTACACCTTGTGTGAGACATGATCAAACCTACACCTTGTGTGAGTGATTCATGATCAAACCTACACCTTGTGTGAGTGATTCATGATCAAACCTGCACCTTGTGTGAGTCATGATCAAACCTACACCTTGTGTGAGTGATTCATGATCAAACCTACACCTTGTGTGAGTCATGATCAAACCTACACCTTGTGTGAGTGAGTCACGATGAGACCTACACCTTGCGTGAGTCATGATCAAACCTACACCTTGTGTGAGTCATGATCAAACCTACACCTTGTGTGAGACATGATCAAACCTACACCTTGTGTGAGTCATGATCAAACCTACACCTTGTGTGAGTGATTCATGATCAAACCTACACCTTGTGTGAGTCATGATCAAACCTACACCTTGTGTGAGTGAGTCACGATGAGACCTACACCTTGCGTGAGTCATGATCAAACCTACACCTTGTGTGAGTCATGATCAAACCTACACCTTGTGTGAGACATGATCAAACCTACACCTTGTGTGAGTCATGATCAAACCTACACCTTGTGTGAGTGATTCATGATGAAGCCAAATTGACTCTGATGTTGCAGACGCCTGAGTTGGTAGTGACTGATGGTGACTCTGTGGATGGGGGGGATGTTGTGTTGACACTGGAGGGGGAGGGAAGTGAGGTCTTCACAATCGACAGGGTCACACATGACCTGAAGATCACAGACCCAAATCTCATTGACTGTGAGAGAATGTGTGAATACAACCTGCTGGTGAGTAATAGACATTTGTACAGCAACAACTTGTTCATCAAGACTTATCTGTGCCAGGAAGTGAGACGAGGGATATAAGAACGGAGTTTGTCTGTCTATCTTTCCGTCTGCTTCTCAATGTGGACAAATTTTCTCAAAAACTATTCAAATTAGAGAAATGAAATTTTACACACTGATGTTACTTGGCACAATCTCAAATGAGTTTGAAAATGGGTATCGTCTGTTCAGTTATTGCCCTTGCTCATGCTTTTCAGCTTACTGCATAGTGTCTGCGATTGGGACAACCTTTCTCAGAAACTACTGACTTTACATGAATGAAACTTTGCAAGTTTAACTAAGAGATACTTGTCAAGACCGAGTTTGAAATTTGGTCCTGTCAATTATTGTTTTACAGAGTTATGGCCCTTGTTCCATGCTTTTCAAAATTGTGCTTACTGTGTGAAGTGGGGACAAGTTGTTTCAGAAACTACTGGAGTTACATAAATGAAAGTTTTCATGCTTATCAAAGAGAAGGAGCCTTTTGTGTATTGATTTCATTTTTAATCAGTTCTGATGACATGAAGTGCCCAAAGTGGCCATCTCTGTTTGAGGTTTTATAGGACTTTTTTATAGTTTATATTCACTATTACAGTAAACTACGTTTATAATGAACAGATGGATATAACGAACATTTTTTTGGTCCTGACCATTTACTGCATATATGCTGTATATATGCGTATAAGGAATACGGTTATTAAGAACAAAACAAAGTGGTCCCTTTGAGTTCGTTATAACTGTGGTTGCTGTATATGAAGAAACAAACCTCAACTGTACCCCATGGTAGCGTGATAACGCTGTTTTCTTGTTCTTATGATTATTAGTAATTGAACATTTAAAATGTAATTATTCAGCTGATTGCAACTGACGATGGCGGCCATGGTCTACAGAACAGTGCCAACCTGACGATCACCATCCTCGATGTCAATGACAACGCCCCCACCTTCCAGCACTCCTACAACTTCAGCGTTCCCCCTGATACACCAGTAGGCACGGTTGTGGGTGTGGTGCAAGCAACAGATATTGACGGCTTTGAAGGCAACAACAGGATCACATATCTCCTTACCAGGGGAGGAGCAGGGAAGTTCTTTGTGGACCCTGTGTCAGGTCAGTAGATTGGTGGAATAGATTGCTTGTAGCTCACCTGGTAGATGGTGCCTGTGTAGAGATATAAGTATTTCCATAGCTCATCTGGGAGGTGCTATCTCTGGTATTTTTTCATTTATTATTTTGTTTGTTGTTTAATGCCGCACTCAGCAATATTCCAGGTATATGGTAGGTGGTGTCTCTGTAGTGATAGGAAAATCCCTGAAGCTCACCTGGTAGTTTGTGTATATAGAGACTGAAAAATCCCTGAAGCTCACCTGGTAGGTGGAGTCTGTCGATATAGAAGAATCCCTGTAGATCACCCGATAGGTGGTGTCTCTGTAGAGATAGAAGAATCCCTGAAGCTCACCTGGCATGTGGTGTGTTGTAGAAGGAGAACAGAAGCCATGTAGCTCACCTTCATACTGTTGTTTGTCTGAACATTTTATATGCTATCGTGTGAGAATATGATATACACCAACCATTAGTCAATCATAGGTTGCTGTCATGACATTGATGATTGCCTGTGGTTCTTTCAGACGCATACCCAATTTGGATTTATCATCAAAGAAATAAATTGAATTTTCGAACTATTTTTAAAATAGTGAACTATTGATTAAAGATGACTGAAACTTGAAAGTCACATAGTGTTTTGCTATTTTTTAACTTCCTTATATGGTGAACAAAGCCATTTATTATGAATCCCAAAATTTAATCATTATCATACAAAATACACTGTGTCAGTAATAAAATAATTAAATAGTCAGTCACCATGTTAGGGCTCTGAACTCCAGTACTCGCATCTCAAAACTGGACCCAGATTCAAGTACTCAAATTCAACTGTAACAATTAATATGTTGTCTTTATCCTTGACATCAGAGGCAGTGGGGTAGCCCAGTGGTTAAAGCATTCGCTCATAGCGCTGAAAACTGGGTTTGATTTCCCACATGGATACAAGGTGTGAAGCCCATTTCTTGTGTCCCCACCTGTGATGTTGCTAAAAGTTGTGTAAAACCATACTCTCTCACTCTTTGGCATCAAAGCCCAGGGTAATTCGCTCAGCCAGTGAACAGCTTCTCTTCCATGTCTGGGGCACACGTTATTGAAGTGAAGATTGGAGTTATCTCCCCTGGTTGGGTACTCCATCCAAATAAACTCAACCTGTGCTTGTCTATCAGGTCTGTCAGAGCCCAACTCTCTGCTCCCATCAACCCCCTGGGGTGTTATATTGAGGGAAAACTCTCACCGACAACATGGACACACAGTCCATGAAGTTATTGTTATCAAGATTATACACACTGGAACATAAAACCCAACAGCACACCAGTACAGAATTCCTTTCTGACATGGAAAGTAGTAGAACTGGTAGCCACCTGCAAGAGAGCAAGAAGTGAAGTTTTCATTTGCACCATATGACAGAGTTAAAGATTTTAGATTCGAACGATATGCAGAAAATTGTCCGGTGGGATTATGTTTTCTGAAACCACATCTTCCCGGGGTAAGAGAGTCAACTAACTGATTGGACTATGCTTAGACTCATTAGTCCAGCCAGAAAATAACTTTATAATTCCAGCCTAGTTCCGCAAGGGTGGAAACTGGACTTTTATAGTCAGTTCACTTTCTTGCCTCGAGAAGATGCTGCTTAAACCATGGCTCCTCTGTCTTAAACCGTACATTGATTAACGGAATTGTTAGTTAACAAGACTTGGCAATGTCAGACTATCTTTTTTTCCCCTATTATTTACCTTGATGATAGAAAATAGAAAAAAAACACAAAAAACGTGTCGCTAGGGGTATTCGAACCTGCAAAGTCTGCACTGAAGGCTGACGAATGTAATCTTCTGCCACATCGAATTGGAAGAAATTGTATAAAATGAACAATTTGGGAGATATTTGTTTTATGCAGTAGTTTTGTTCTTTACTTGCCCATGTTGCCGATTTGTCTTTATGGTATCCTCATAATAAGAACTATTACTGACAGTGCTAATCAGTGCTTATAATATCAATCACATTATTAGCCCAATATTGATTGATGCATGTCATCACATCCCAGTTGTGTAGGTCAGTGCTCATGATATCAATCACTGGATTGGCCAGGGTCAATTATTTACATTGCTGCCACATGCCTGGGATATTGCTGAGTGTGGCGCCAAACAACAACAAATAAAGATATTTTGGATTTTGTGCATGCTTACCGAAACCGCCGCAGATGATCCCAGCTGTGAGAATCATTGCGAAACAAAGGCAATATTGTGTTTCATCTTTGACTTTTTTAGAATTTAGTCCGTACATGATAGCTATGACAAGTACCAGAAGCCCTTCACAGATCATGTACCACGCCACACTCAGGTCAGTTGGACAGTCCTTGTGATAAACCAGACCTGAGAAGTATAAGAACAGAATAGGAGAACAACCAACACTCTACAGACTTACCACAAGTAATAACAAGTCTTTGGCTAGGACCTTAATATTTATTAATGAGTTGCAGATAACCTAATTATTCGAGTAGGCGATTTAGGAGATAAACATACTGTGTTTTCACTGTAGAGCTAGGTTACCTGTAGCTTTAACTGCACTAAATTGAATTTGGAACTGAACGCGCAGCGTGAGGCTCAAATGTTAAATTTAGCTTGGTTAAATCTACGGGTTACCTAGCCCTACATTGAAAACATAGTATGTTTATCTCCATTCTACCGTGACTAAGTAAGACGCGAACTCTATATATTGAGTGAAGCGGCATGGGTTGAGTCCATTGTTTGAATGGGTTGTTGATCAGAATTTACCGAATTACCGACAACAGCCTTAAATTGCAGGAGCACACCTTTTCTCATCTTTCCACGTCTCTTTGTCTTTAATAATGCTGCAATTGCCTCCAAAGTGCAGAATAATCTGCTGTTTCTTGTCTGACCTTTGGGAGCCAGACAACCATGATGACGCCCTCGGCATTCCAGAACACGGAGGTCATGACCTTTCCAGTCTTTGCCTTCTTTGATGGTTGTGATGGCAAATCCTTCCATTGTTTTGATTGTTGTTTGGACCCAGGATGTGATGTGGACCCAGGTTTCATCCACAGTCACAAATAGTTTAAAAGAATCATTCTGGATCAGCATAAGAGATAGATTATCACGAGACATGTTCATCAGGTGTCAGAAACTTTGGAACTCAATGACCTGCTGATACTTTCTTTATTGCCAAAGTTTCTGTGATAATGGAATGTAAACTCCCTGGAAATGTCTTCTCATCTCGTGATACGACGCTTAGTTATTTGCCAGATGGTCATTACCATGTCGTGGATTCTATGGATCTGTTCTGGTGTTGCTGAAGTGACAGACCATCCAGGAAGGAGTTGTCTTCAAGGCTCTCCCTGCCACACTTAAACTCTGCTGCCCACCCCTTTGTGGTGGCATAGGACGTGGCATCCTTCCATCATGGTGTACCCAGTACCCATATCTTCATAGATGGCATTTGGAGTTGAGCCCTTTTTATGCAAGTACTTGATCACAGCATGTTCCTCAAGTTTGTCTATTTTCCAAAGGTGACAGACCCCGGCTTATGTTCATAACTTATTAGGGATGCAACGAACACACTATGAGGAGAATACGACTCGTATCATGAATATAGGGTAACGAATATGAATATTTTTTCGCGATTACAATAACAAGTCAGCAGTTGATGTTTTATTTATTATATTCAGTGAAACAATAACAACATGAATTATTTGACATAGTTTGTTAATTATCTATTTATTATACATTCTATATACTGCACTTATCCAGGTACTTGTATCAGCTGAAATGTGACAATGACTAGTGACCACAGTACTGTCAAATTAAATAAATAAGAGTGTTGTCTTTGAAGAAATCTATGCATATAATATATATTTAGGGATATTTTAAGGGACACGGTATGTAAATGCACACAACTGCATATTAAAAAACATTCAATTCTAGTGACCACGAATAACGAATTCAATTCATGAACGGATACGGTTCGATTCACGGAATACGCAAGTGAGTCGTAACAGCCCTACTTATCACAGCCAACCAACTTGCTCCATTCATGTTCAATATTTGTGATTTTCTATCTCAAATTATAAATTTATACTGAAAAAGTTTCTTATCACCTGTTTGTTTACCTGAATTTGCTGAAGGGGTATTTTCTGCGCATAATATTTGAAAAAGATTTTTTCCAAAATACTGAATCCGCTAGAGGGGTGTGTGCATTATACTTGGGTGCGCACTATACTCAAGAACATACGGTATGCCTCTACGATATCATGTAATTCCCGAGATTACAAAATTCTCTATTAAGCAGTTCCTTCTACTTGAGGCGCAGAACTCATCAGTCAACCCTTTTAACAGTATTCAAGTTATATCGCGGCATGTCAGCTTAACGTGGGAGGAAAGCCCAAAGTCATGCAGGTCTGAGATGTTTACAGCTTTGGAGAAACCCACGAGCACAGGTATGGTGCTTACAAAACCTAGAAACATAATCGGGGTGAACCAGGATTCAAACCAACAATCATAGTTTCTGGCATGCCCAAGGGAGGCAACTCTGCACCACGAATTTGCAGCACCTTAGACGACTGGGCCACCAGTAACCCCTTTTGTAATGGAGTTATTACTATAAAAAATAAATATTTAGAAAATAAAAATATCTACAACAACAATATATTTGATAGTATCTTCTGATTGTTGTGATTTATACTGGTGATTGAGAAGTGAAGTACAGTCCTACCTAACACCAGCATGTGGCATCCAACCATGAAGCCGAACAAGGAAAATCGGCCACCTGTTTAAACAAAAAGATTTTATGGAAATATTATCATATCTAACTGGCGGGCAAAAGAAAGAATTCACCCATGTTTGATGGTGACTAAAAGGAAACTAACAAGAAATGGTTATTCGATGTATTTGATACGGGAATCTCAGTTGTGTAATGGACCATACATTTGCTGTGTGTCAGAGGCTGTTTTCTGTTATGTTTACATTTATATTTGTTTTGGTCAAATCCAAGGTTCAAGTGTATATTTTCTTTTTCCCGGCAGTTTGTGTATGTATAATAGTACACAGAGAAGGAACACATTTAACAAATAGGTACATTCTATTTCAATAAGTATGTCATGGCTGGCTTCTGAGAGAGTCTACCCGTGCAGATCTGGGGTAGAATAGGTCTTCAGCATCCCATGCTTGTCATAAGACACGACTATGCTTGTCGTAAGAGGCAACTAATGGGATCGGGTGGTGGTCAGACTGACTTGGTTGATGCATGTCATCGTATCCTAATTGCGTAGATTGATGCTCATGATGTCATCACTGGATTAGTCTTGTCTCGATTATTTACAGACCGCCGTCATATAACTGGAATATTGCTGAGTGAGGTATTAAACAACAAACAAACAAACACATTTCACAAATAGTTACATTCTATTTCAATGTGTATATCAGGACTGGCTTTTGAGAGAGACCCCCATTAATAAACCATTAAGATGACATCACGCTCTTGTTGCCGTTGATTCTAAGCCAGAAATTCACAGGCCATTCTGAACATGCTTTTAAACGAGGTAAAACTGTTGCAGCAATAGCTCATTACAAAGATTATTGGAATTATATAATAACCATAACCTGGTTAAGTCAGTGGTGAAATCTCTTGAATCTGTTGATGCCGGAAGTAGAATGAACAGATCCTCTGGATGTTTTTATGTCGGATTCTGGGGCAGTGGCCTCAAGGAGCTGACCTGGCTGCTTATGTGTCATTGTATCCTGACGGTGAACTGTTGATCATACTATCAACCACTTGTTTGTCAGGTCTTACGTTCAGGCAGCTATGATGTTTCTGGGGGGCAGAGGTGGCCCAGGCGTCTAAGGCCCCGTGATTCGCTGTGCAGAGTTGCGTCCCTTGGGCATGCCAGAAACCTATGATTGTGGGTTCGAATGCCGATTCGCCCTGATTATGTTTCTAGGTTTGTCAGCACCACACATGTGCTCATGGGGTTCATTGAAGTGGTAAACGTCTGAGACCTGCATCACTTCGGGCTTTCCTCCCTCATTAAGCTGATATAACTGGAATACTGTTAAAAGCGGCGTAAAACCCAACTCACTCACTCACTCACTTTCTCATTCTGAGAAAGTATGCATCACAGGCCAAGATGTACAATAATTTGGATAAAGTGTCATATTTATAAGTATAATCGACTGTTAATACTTTTGTATGTTTGTAGCCTAGTGGTTAAAGCGTTCGCTCGTCACGCCGAAGACCCGGGTTAGATTCCCGACATGGGTACAATGTGTGAAGCCCATTTCTGGTTTCCCCCGCCGTGATATTGCTGGAATATTGCTAAAAGCGGCGTAAAACCATACTCACTCACTCACTTTTGTATGTTTAACTGCAGACTTTACTTTTCCATAAGAAATAAGTATATAAATATGTCTTTTTCTTGTGTCTGGATTTTGAATAAATATGTGGTATTGGCTGCGTATGTGTGGATAGAACAAAATGAAACATTACTGCAAGAACATCACTCCATGATGATAACATTATTACTAAAGAATTACACTGCTCAACATTTGCTGAGGACCAAACTAGTCATCTTGAGTCCTTTGCAAATATTGAGTGGTATATTTTGGGGTGAGAAAAATACTTGTCAGTCTGTTCCAACATTGAATGTTTCACATTTAGTTATGAAAGTTATAGAGATGTCAAGTTATTTTGACTTACAAGTGACATCCTTCCGCTCCTCGACCTCTCCCATGTTGTCCATGTATTGACATGACCGTCGAAGTGAGACTTGAGTCAGTCAATACAGTGTGCCTCAAGACAGCCGTGTGCAGCAGCTGGTAGTGTATGGCAGGAACAGTTTCAGGTGTGTCCATGTTAATGCTGCTGTTATTGTCTGCCTGCTGAGACCTGTGTCTGCAGGTGTTGGCTGAACTATATTTAATAGATTGAAATCAATTTTTGTTTGTTGGTGGACCATAGCTGTAGGTACTTATCATATTAGCGAGTCAGTCAGTCAGTCAGTCAGTCAGTCAGTCAGTCAGTCAGTCAGTCAGTCAGTCAGTCAGTCAGTCAATCAGTGTAACGCCACTTCAAACAGTATTTCTGTTATATCACGCCATGTCAGTTTGATGTGGGATAAAAGCCTGATGCAAAGTGATGCAGGTCTTATACTCTTTTCAGTGATTTCGCCATTTTGTTTGACAATGGTCTTGCAGTCTTGCTTGACAACGGTATAAGGATCTATACCGAAACGTCGATTTTTACAGTATTAAAGAAGTTGTTATCCATAAAATTGTGTCTATCTTGTCATCCGCCAACTTCTAAGTAATGCATATCAAACAAGTTATTTTGTTTGAAGCAAATGCAAGTGATATGAGAGATGGAATCTGATTGGTCAATAGGAGGGACATAGAAGGGATATAACTTGTAATACCCACTGGTGGTGCTACGATCACGAAACTCTTGTGACATGCTTGTCTCCTTTTTTGTTCCAGAATAGTACTGGAAGCTGGTACGAATTAGATGTTTCGAAATAGGTATAATAGTAATAATTATATATACTGGTAAATACTTCTTTTGGACATAGTATTTTATATTTTTCATATCATGTTAATAGTAATAATTATCTACTGGTAAATACTTCTTTTGGATGCAATATTTTACATTTTTCATATCATGTTAATTTGATACATGCCTGCAAGTCACATGAGGGTGGAAGCACAAATACTTACATACAAAAAAAACACAAGTGTCAAAATGTGTGGTGTTACCCTGGGCAAGTGACTTAAATTAGTTCAAACGTGCCTCTGTCCACCCAGCAGGGAATGGGTACCTGATATGTAGATGGATGTAAGAACCCTCTTGTGCCCGTAGGCAGCTGGGGTTGTATACCCCCCAGGGAGTTGAGAATGATAACTGGAATGCAAATGGATCCACTGGTTGGGGAACAAATAAAATCACATTTGAGCAGATACTGGTACCTGGATAACTGCAGTTTTTAAAATGTATAATATAATAATAACAATAATGATCTGAATAATTCTACACAGAAAATCCATGACTCTATTGGTAGTCAATTACTGTTAGGAAAAGGGCACTACTGTCTAGATATTTGTTCATTCATACAATTTCAAGTACATTGTGTTCCAGGACTTCAATTTCAGCTCCACAGTTACTACAAAAATCCCATTGTGGATTCTGGGTTAGAATAGGTCCCCAGCGACCTGTGCTTGTTCTACAGGACAACTAAATGGGTAGGGTGGTCAGACTTGGTAACTTGGTTGATTGCATGTCATCGTACATGACTGAGTGGACGGTTGCTCATAATATCAGTCACTGGTTTGCCTGGTCCAGACTTGATCATGTACAGGCTGCTGTCATATTGGTGGAGTAATGCTGAGTGCTGTGTTAAACAACAAACCATCAGATTCAACAAGGAATACATTTGTGTTATATAGGTGAAGTACTGGTGTCAGACTCCCTGATCCGAGCTCCGATACAAGACATCTACAGACTGAGCATCAGGGCAGGCGACTCCGGGTACCCCTCTCTGTTCGAGGACACGGAGGTCTCCGTGAATGTCCCAAACAACAAGCCTGCACTGGTTCCTGAGGACCTCACTCTGACAGTAGAAGAGTCCACTCCAGTGGGAGGGTATGTGGGTGAGGTGGCCGTCACTGACCCTGATGCTTCACCTCTCTACCCTGTCATCTTCTCGTTGTTGGACTCCTCGGGTATGTACTGTTGAACATGTGGTACCTCTAGTGACATCCTATTTCCTTTTTGTTGTAGAATAACAGAATATACTTCTGTCCCAGGCAGGGTTTCCCCTGACACAGTATTCTTGTGTATATGACTCTCAATTAAGGAAAAATACGTCCAGAAATTAATGACTGCGTCATGACTGACGCAATTTCAAAATATCTGTGTTGTTGTTTACCAGCTTTGGAATGAAAATATTACAACTACTCACCTGAACTTAATTTATAAACATTTTCTGAAGACAATATATGCAAACATCTTAAAATTTACGTCTAGTTTTTAATTAATCGTTGTTTCAAAATATATTTATGCATCAAAGTGAACGTAACTCTCACACTCCATGTGGCTTCGATGACAGCACATGATGTAAACAAAGGAAAATTCCGCAAATGGACAAGGTTTTTCATGTTTCGGCATATTTTCTCACTAAAAGTTAACCATGACATATGTTTATCTAGATGTGTAGACACGTAAAAAATGAAACAGAAGAAAATATTATCATTGTTGCGGTAAAAATGTGATTTGGCACAGTAACAGTATGTGGTTAAGCAGAACCTATGGAACGGGGTAAACAGAAGTTGTAAGTATCGGAGGGACACATGTTTTTGCCGAAATTAAGGTAAACATTATTGAATGAAATTTTAAATAAAATTAATAAAATAGATGACAAACATAAGGTCAGATATACAGAGAACACATTTTTATTACCAGATAGTGTAACAACAGGATTAACTTGCGTAATTCAATTCTGATTTGTTATGCTATTTCCGATGACGGATCATGACAGCCTGAAATAAGACTGAAGAAAAGTCTGTGCGTATTATACACGAGCGATATTTTTTTCAGGATTTAATAGCCCATAATTAGGGGTGTGTATTATACACGAGTGTGTATTATGCGCGAATAAATATGGTATATACGAAATGTAAAGCTTTGGGCGTGTTTGTTGTTGCTAATAAACTGTATTCACCTAGAAAATATTACGAGTGTTCCCAAGTCTTCAGTTCAACTTCACTGTTGATAGATAATACAAGATAACTAGATAAAAGATGTAAATGAGCTAGTGGTATTAAATTATAATCTGACATGAAATGTATTTTAATATCCATCCATGATTAAAAATTATGTCTCACAGTTGAGACTGATGTTATTTATTCATCCTGTATTAGTGTCACTGTAAATTGTTTCATGAGCTGTGAAGTAATTAAAGATTGTGAAAAGATAAAACCAATAAACTTTGTTTTTCATTCATATATCCTTTATTTCTCTGTAGTACAATCAGCTGAGAACATTAATTAGCACTTGTTAACTTAAACTAAAGACATATAATATTTAAAAGATACTTAACTTTAAGTGTAACATTAACAGTCAACACTTTAAATTTCATTAATCATACAATAAAACAATTAGTGTCCCTTTACTTGCAGAGAAGAGTCCCAAGAATACTGCTTGATATTTTTAGTTATTTAAAAAGAAATAATTTATCACTTCTTGATATTGGAAAATATATTATATATATATGAGCTTCTAAACATCAAAAACAAAAATGCTGATCTCAAACAAAAATGCTGCGCTAAAAATCAAATGTTTGCTCCCTTACATGGTCATGCTGTGGATGTAAATCACTTTCATATCTTTCCATTTGTTCCAGATACCCTCCACATCGACCCCACATCAGGGGAGATAACCACCGTGGTGGCGCTGGACTCCGAGAGACAGTCTCAGTACATCACCAGAGTCCAGATCGAGGACCGTGGCATCCCAACACATGTCATGACAGCAACCGTCACCGTCAACATTGCAGACATCAATGACAATTACCCACAATTCTCCTCTCCAACAGGGTATGCAGTCACTATTGAGGAAAATGATGCTGACCTGGAGACTGCAGTCCTGACCCTGGTAAATGAAATCTTTGGTCATTTCTGATCTGATTCATCCTTTGTCTTTGTGAGGATTCTGGATCAGGATAAGTCTTTAGTACTTGATGACTGTCAGTCGTTACACATGACTAGATTTAATAGGGTATCAGTTGGTCAGGCTATGTGAGTTAGTGAATGGGTTTGGTTTAACGCCGTTTTGAAAAATATGTAGAGGTTATCATGCGAGTGTGTGTGGGGATCGTAAATATCCTGTGTTAGAAATAAACATTGTATTTACCAAGCCTTGGTATACTAGATACATAGTGTTTATTCCTAATGTTCAGATTCTGACTCGGTCGCCAAATAAGAAATGCGACACCACTTTCCTTGTAAACACTGAAAGTAGTCCCTACATGACCTTTCTTATTTGCATCTCTATCTGCGTATGACCCCAACGGATATCGTTTTTATCTGTTGGATTTATCCTTCCGAGAAGCTTCCTTAGCTGGCATATCGTGATATAACTGGAATACTGTTAAAAGCTGCATTAACCCAACTCACTCATTCACTCTCTTTCCTTTCAAATTCAGTTTTCAGTGTTGCTAATATATTGTTCCTGCTTTTTATTGGTCACAAGTCGTGGTATAGTAAATAAATTGCAAGTGATTCCGTTGCATTTGATTGGCTGACTAAACAAATCTGTTTGTGTAAATGATTCCATAAACAGACTGCTGTTTCCTGATTGGCTGATAATAGAATAGGTGGGTCTTGTGTTGTATTATTGCTCTGAACGATGCCACTGATTTCGTATTGCTGTCTACAGTTATTTTTGTGTTTATCATTTAAATAAGCAGTCTGTGAAATTTGTATTATTTTAAAAATAGATTTATGAGAATTGACTTCAATATGTTTTTGCATCTAAGGAGTTTTAAACGTAAAAATGGTGTGCACACTTTGTGTGGATCGGCTCTGCAGATTTACAAAGTATGCACATAGGAGTTTACTTTTACACCTGGGCGGTGGGGTAGCCTAGTGGGTAAAGCGTTTGCTCGTCATGCCTAAGACCCGGGTTCGATTCCCCACATGGATACAATGTGTGAAGCCCATTTTTGGTTTTCCCCAAAGTGGCGTAAAATTCACTCACTCACTCACTACCTTCATACATCCGTAAATGCTAAAAATGTTGAAGTAAATTCATAAGTAGAAATAATTGTACAACCCACTTTTTCTGTACATTTCAGAAACCAACATTTGTTGTCAGTGACGAGGATCGAAGAGAAAGCAACTTTGTGTACAAGCTGTTTGGACAGTATTCGGAACATTTTGAAATGAACGAGGGATCAGGGGCAATAACTCTTGCCCCAGACATAGACATAGACTGTGAGCGTGTATGTGAGTACAACTTGAAGGTAGGTCTGTTGTAAGTAATGAATATAAAATCTGTACCTTTTAATCATTGCTGACTGCTGGTGTTAACTGTGATGTTCGAGTGAATCAGTTTCACGTCATACATGCAAAGTGGGAGAAACTATTGTGTTTGTCCTGTTAGAGACTCACAAAACTAGAAATGATATGGGGCTGCATGGAGCCTGAAGCTTTTGTTGGTGAGTGTTTTAGCTTTAACACTCCTTTAAAGAGTTCAGTCTTATCATGGCTTGTCACTTTTAAGTGGGAGAAAAGCTTGAAGTGATGAAGGTCTTGGACATCTACCCCTTTAGTTTGCTTGTTGTTGTTTAACACCGCAAGCAGCAATATTCAAGCTATATGACAGCGGTCTGTAAATAATCGAGTCTGGTCCACACAATCCAGTGATTGAAAACATGAGCATCAAACCACACAATTGGGATACAATGACATCCATCAACCAAATCAGCGAGCCTGACTGCCTGATCCCATTAGTCCACTCCTACGACAAGCATAGTCACCATGTATGGCAAGCATGGTTTGCTGAAGACCTATTCTACCCGGATCTTCACTTTAGTAAAACACATGAGCATGCATGATGGTGCTGACAAACCTAGAAACATAATCAGGGTGAACCAGGATTCAAAACCACGATCATAGGTTTCTGGCAAACCTAAGGGACTCAACTCTGCACAGTGAATTGTAGCGCCTCAGTCAAATGAACCCATTGTGGCCCCGATTATGTGTATGTGAGTGAGTGAGTTAGGTTTAACGTTGCTTATAACAGTATCTAGTTATATCTGCACAGTGAATTGCGGCCCCTTAGACGACTGGGCCACCCGTGCCCCCCAGATGTTGGGAGAGAGCAGCATGGCTGCCATGAGATAGACTTATGTTTGAGCCTGTTATGTTTGACTTAGTCTTCAGTTACGGCAGATTCATCATGTGTACTAAATCCATGTCATTACCTAACGCATTATTGTAAACCATGTTGAGTATCAAATGAATAACAGTGATGTTTCATCTTTGATGTCAGTGTTTCTTAATCAGTGTTGTGGAAGGTGACCTTGCTAATAAGCCACCCACGTAAAAAATAATTGAGGGGTGTCATTTCAATCACGTTATTTCCAAAACAAATGCAATGTGATGGTATTGACAAATTTTGTGACCAGTAAAAATATGATTAAACAGTTTTCCCGTCACAGCTTGTCACTACTGTCACATTTCACTACTGTCACAGCTTGTCACTATTGTCACAGCTTGTCACTACTGTCACATTTCACTACTGTCACAGCTTGTCACAGCTTGTCACTACTGTCACATTTCACTACTGTCACAGCTTGTCACAGCTTGTCACTACTGTCACATTTCACTACTGTCACACCTTGTCACAGCTTGTCACTACTGTCACATTTCACTACTGTCACAGCCAGTCACTACTGTCACATTTCACTACTGTCACATTTCACTACTGTCACATTTCACTATTTCACTACTGTCACATTTCACTGCTGTCACAGCCAGTCACATTTCACAGCTGTCACATTTCGGTGCTGTCACATTTCACTACTGTCACATTTCACCACTGCTGTCACAGCCAGTCACTACTGTCACATTTCACTACTGCTGTCACATTTCACTACTGTCACATTTCACTGCTGATACTGACATATTGACATAACAATATCTTTTCCATTCTGCAGATAAACGTAACGGATGAAGGTGGTGTAGGTTTAACATCCACCGCTCCTCTGCAAATAACTGTAGAGGACATCAACGACAATCCTCCTGACGTCACCCCCGATGTTGTGTACAGTGTGAGCCCCAATGCCACTGTCGGCGATGTTGTTGGGAAGGTGCTTGCTGTTGACCTTGACATAAGCGACCAAAACCATCAACTGACCTTTATTCTCACTTATGGAGGATCCGGAAAATTTGCTGTTGGTTTTCATACTGGTAAAGTATCTCTTATTATTCACAAATTGTCTTCAGATCAATTTAAGGGAAATTAAGATATACTATATGTATCATGCAATACTAATAAATATTCCCACAAAGGTGTTACAATATAGTGCTTATCAAAATACATCCTCAAATATCCATATCACCTTTCTGTTGTGGTAAAAGTACCCTGGACCTAACGCTCCATGAAATACAGTTTTGCTGAGTAATCAGTATTTTGCTAATTAGAGTTTCTTACCCTTGACTTTTGTGTGAGTGAGTGATTATTGTTTAATGATCCATCAACAAGTTTGCAACTATTTGCAGCAACAGACTTTTAGGAACAAAAATTATTTTTCATAGTTAAAAAGAAAAGCATATATCTTATTTGTACTGTGATAAAAGGAAGTTTGTTGTGTCAGAAATAGAAAGAGAATTATTTTTCCGTAAATAAATGAAGGTGAAAATACTAAATATACTTTCACAGCAAATACTGACGTAAATGTAGTGAAGGGCATGTAGTTAGGTGGGTGTTATTATGCTTCAACTTTCGGGAGGAAAATTCTGGAAATTTGGTCAATGGAATATCATATCTGATCAGAAATATTTGGAAACAAACTATTATGCATGCAAATAAGTTCTGACCAATATAAATGTGAAAAATATTATATTTTTCAGCATGAAGTGTATTTCCATTGTAAACATTTATGATTCGTTCATTAGTTTTTCTTTTATTTCACCTCACTCTCTCTCAAAAGGCATCATAACAGTTGCCGACAATCTGACAAGACAACCATTAGTTGACGAGTACCGGCTACAGTTCACAGTGCGAGATTCCGGGTTCCCCGGCTTAAGCTCCGAGGCGATCTACACTGTGCACGTCCCCATCAATAAACGCCCTATTTTCAAAAACACCAAGGTTGCTGTTGATGTCCTTGAGGATGTGGAGATAGGGTACATCATTGCCGACGTTGGCGTGGACGACCCAGACTCCTTGACGGGAGGAGTTAGTGACATCACCTACAGCCTTGTTGGAGATCAAGGTACACATATATAGTGAGACACCTATGATAGGGATGAACACACAATACCATTTAGAAAGTGGTCAAATGTAATAAATGTACTTTACCAAGAAAGTGTTGTCCCAAATATAACATTTGTTACAATTGATAGGGAGCCTTCGATATTTCATTCTATGATGTACCAGGGTAACATGACAACAACTTATCAAACTGTCTATTTATTTATGGTTAATCAACTTGAAGTGAAGCTAAATGTGTTTCAGTTCCATGGCAACGTTGAATACTATTTGTTTGACAACATATTTAAGTCACATCCAGACCGACCACAGCATGGTATCTCAGTGGTCTAGCACTGTAAATCGACATCAGTCCGGACTAGTACATGCCGCCAGACACACACTAGCATGCACGCCGCTATAAAAGTGGAATAATCTTGGACGCGATGTTAAACCAAATTTCACCTAACCTCACATCCAGACCTCACCTATCCCAATCAACAGTTGAGAGGTATATATACATTGTATTACCATTAAGGAGAGGCACTTTAATAACGAGGCGACCTAATCCCATTGGTTCAGTCTTTGGACGCACTTCAAATAAGTTTGACAAAACAATGCAATGGTTTATCAAACAGGGTTTTCATTTGTATTTTTCCAATACGCAAGTTGAGAAATATTTTGTGCTTATAAATTCAAAAGAATATTCTGGCTAAGGACGTGTAAATATGGGTTTGCCTTTACAACTGTATCGTTCCAGGACTGTTCACCATAGACAAGTCTACAGGGCTGATCACCACTGCAGCCTTGCTGGATGCTGAACACACGACCAGTGTGGACATGACAGCCTCTGTAGTGGACACAGGTATCCCCACCTACACCGGGACGACGGCCGTGCATGTCGACATCCAGGGTGTCAACGACAACATCCCCACCTTCTCATCGTCCACTGGCTACACTGCCATCATAAGGGAGGATGTCGGCCTCGGATCCACAGACCCGGTTGAAATAGTCTTGGTGAGATTAAGACGTTCTCTAATGGAATTATTTGGCACTTTCGTATAAAATATTGTTATTGATATTGAAATAACAGTTGTACATTTTGTACTTCAAGAAAGTTGGATCCTACAATCTTTTTGAGAGAGCCTGTTTTGAGGTTGAAACCTTAGTAAAATCAGCAAATCTCAGTTTTTTGTACAAACTGCTAGGCAAAGGAAAGTATACACTTGAAAATTGGATTTGACCCAAAAATTCAATCTCATAAATATGAGATCTAAGTTCTCGCTGCCGCTAAACAAGGACATCCCATTAGGGGTCAGGTCAGAACGACCTTTCGCGAACTTTGACCAACCACTGAAATGACATACAAGAAGTCGACATCAGCCAATAACAAAGCAGCTTTCTCGAGCTTTAGGGCACTCTTTTCAATCTGGCGACTTCCCATTCAGACTACACTTGAAAAATTTGTTGACAGAGTTCTCGATTAAAATTTTGAAAACTGAACAAACGAACATTTCGGAATGTCTAATATGTATTATATAGCAGAGATTGAGATTGTATAGCAGTGCTTCCCACATACTGTGCAACACCTCCTCTGTTCAAATGTTTATCCCACGGTAGCGAGAGATAGACAATAATTTTGACGGAATCAGTCGTATGGGCCGTAACTGTCGTTCGGAATACCTGATTTTAATGAGATTGCCCCAAAATTACAAAAGTTACCAAACGTCACAAGGCTGAAAATCGATACACTGCAAGCCCAACATCCAAAAGACAACTTTGATACCCATATAAAATACGTCAACACAGAATAGCTATTTCTTGTTTGTTTCGTTTTAGCTATAATCAAACGTTGGTGTATACTTTCTCTTCCCAAAATTTTAGTTGCTGGATGGAGGGGGCACGGGTGGCCCAGTTGTCTAAGGCGCCGCGATTTGCTGTGCAGAGTTGCGTCCCTTGGGCACGCCAGAAACCTATGATTGTGGGTTCGAATCCCGGTTCTCCCCAATTATGTTTCTAGGTTTGTCAGCACCATACCCGTGCTCGTGGGTTTCACCGAAGTGGTAAACGTCTGAGACCTGCATCACTTGGGGCTTTTTCTCCCACAATAAGCTGACACGCCGTGATATAACTGGAATACTGTTAAAAGCGGCGTTAAACACAACTCACTCACTCACTCACTGTTGGATGAATATGCATTGTTTTAAGTTAACCATTAAGTGTGTTTCTGTATGCCACTGTTTACAACAGGATCATTACCAGTGTGTCATGTTGTTCTGTGTGCGTAGATTCCCGGACTCTCTATAGCTGATGAAGATGGAGATGACGTGCATGTCCATCTGTCCGGCGATGGTGCGGAACTGTTTGCAGTTGACCAGAAGACCCACACCATCACGCTGGAGAACCCAGACAGCATCGACTGTGAACATCAGTGTCATTACAATTTGTCGGTAACGCAAGTTGCAGTATATCATCTGTATAGTGTAAACATGTCATGTCTCTAAATCACCGATGCAGTAACAACAACGATGGATGATGTGTATTTTGTCAAACCCTTAATCCAATTTGTAGCTTTCCACGGAAATTGTCCAAATTTACAAATGTCGGAACCATGGAGACATGCATCACTGACCACAATAAAACCGAAATACTGTTCAAAGTGGAGCTGAACCCAACTCACTTACACAATATCCTCAAAAACTGATGATGCACTGATATATTGTCATGACTGGAGGTGAGGTGAGGTGAAATGAAATGGGGTTTAACGTCATGTTGAAGATTATTTCACTTGTATGGTGACGTGCATACAAGATTGTGTGTGTGACTGCTTGTACTACTCTGGACTAATGCTGGTTTTATAGTGCTAACCCACTGAGAGACCATGCCACAGTTTAACATGACTACCCAACTCAGACTCTAAAGTGACCAGTCCTTGTTTTAACCAATTAATGCTGAGTGCCAGGCAGGGTAACAACAAGTATCTTTTAACATTTTGACACAACATAGCTGGAGTTTGGGCCACCGACCTGCTGTTCTCTGGGCTAACACTCTACTACACCACAGAGATGGTCCATGACAGTTTATGATAAATTGTCTTCCTCAGATCATAGCATCAGACAGTGGCACCCCCGAGTTGACTAGTTCCGCTGAGCTGACGGTCCAGATTGAAGACGTGAATGAACATGCTCCCGAGTTTGCCAGGACCTTCGTTTACCCAGTCCAAGCTGCCGCCCCAGTCGGCACGCTGGTTGGTTATGTGGAGGCAACGGACAAAGACTTCGGGGAAAGGAACAGCGACATCTCATATATTCTGAAATCGGGAGGCTATGACAAGTTTGCCGTCCATTCTGACACTGGTACTACTGCTCTTGTCAGTTATACAGTTGTATGGATTAGTTGCCTTGTTTTGATCATTGAAATTTGTAACTGTTGAATAGGTGTTCTGTTAATGCATGAAGACCTTGGTGGAGAAACAACTATTGCCTTCCAACCATGGGAGCCATCATTGGGGGCGAACATGGTCTTGTGGTCAAAGATGCCTCCGTTGTTATGTTGTTAATTTAGGCATGCCAGGTTTGGGTGATCATTGTGTCGATATCCAGATTATGATTATGATCATTTGTCAGGATCATTTCCATGCTTGTGGGTAACACCTCGTCACTTTTAGCTTTCCTAACACTGATGATGAACACTGTAATACTGGTGAAAGTGATGTGAGATTCAGAGATTTACACAGACCTTTTCAGAAGCAGATATTTCGCTCCATGTGGGTAATATATGTCAATAAAAATTCCCAAATCCGAGTTAAATCTTTTTCATTTCATACTATTGTAGTGTAACTGGTCTGTGGAGAGGTGACTTGTATTTCATTGATAACTGGACCAATAAAGAGGAAGAGGCATCTATGATTAGTATAACATTGTTGTATTGAATGCAATGTTAACTGTACAATGTTAGCATATCTCTGAATTTAGGAAAGTATGAATTGAGGATTTTTTTTCCCAAGATGCCTGCAAAGGACACTTGGTTTGGAATCCTAGACAAATCACTGAAACTCACTCACTCACTGAAACATCATTAAAAAAACATGACTATTTTGTCCCCAGGGGCCATCACAGTCGCTGACAGCCTCATCCGGGAGCCTCAACTGAAGCAGTATGACCTTCAGGTGGAGGCTCGTGACCTTGGGTACCCTCAGAGGTCAGCTGAGACGACTGTGGTGGTCAAAGTTCCTGTCAACGAGGAGCCAGTGTTTGCTCACACCATGGTGTACAACGTGTCTGAAGACTTCACTGTTGGGGACATCATCGGAACTGTGAAAGCAGAGGATGTAGATCTGGGGATGGGAGAGAAGCAGTACCTGGCCTATAGTATCATTGGAGGCGATGGTGAGGGGAAAGAGGGGTGGGAGGATGTTGGGTTGCCTCTGGTTACTGAGGTGGTGGTAGAGGGGAGGGAGGGAGGATGTTGGGTTGCCTGTGGTTACTGAGGTGGTGGTAGAGGGGAGGGAGGATGTTGGGTTGCCTATGGTTACTGAGGTGGTGGTGGAGGGGAGGGATGATGTTGGGTTGCCTCTGGTTACTGAGGTGGTGGTAGAGGGGAGGGAGGGAGGATGTTGGGTAGCCTGTGGTTACTGAGGTGGTGGTAGAGGGGAGGGAGGATGTTGGGTAGCCTGTGGTTACTGAGGTGGTGGTAGAGGGGAGGGAGGGAGGATGTTGGGTAGCCTGTGGTTACTGAGGTGGTGGTAGAGGGGAGGGAGGGAGGATGTTGGGTAGCCTGTGGTTACTGAGGTGGTGGTAGAGGGGAGGGATGATGTTGGGTAGCCTGTGGTTACTGAGGTGAGGGTAGAGGGGAGGGAGGGAGGATGTTTGGTAGCCTATGGTTACTGAGGTGGTGGTAGAGGGGAGGGATGATGTTGGGTAGCCTATGGTTACTGAGGTGGTGGTAGAGGGGAGGGATGATGTTGGGTAGCCTGTGGTTTCTGAGGTGGTGGTAGAGGGGAGGGAGGGAGGATGTTTGGTAGCCTATGGTTACTGAGGTGGTGGTAGAGGGGAGGGATGATGTTGGGTAGCCTATGGTTACTGAGGTGGTGGTAGAGGGGAGGGAGGATGTTGGGTAGCCTGTGGTTTCTGAGGTGGTGGTAGAGGGGAGGGAGGGAGGATGTTGGGTAGACTGTGGTTTCTGAGGTGGTGGTAGAGGGGAGGGATGATGTTGGGTAGCCTATGGTTACTGAGGTGGTGGTAGAGGGGAGGGAGGGAGGATGTTGGGTAGCCTATGGTTACTGAGGTGGTGGTAGAGGGGAGGGAGGGAGGATGTTGGGTAGCCTATGGTTACTGAGGTGAGGGTAGAGGGGAGGGAGGGAGGATGTTGGGTAGCCTATGGTTTCTGAGGTGGTGTTAGAGGGGAGGGATGATGTTGGGTAGCCTATGGTTACTGAGGTGGTGGTAGAGGGGAGGGAGGATGTTGGGTAGCCTGTGGTTACTGAGGTGGTGGTAGAGGGGAGGGAGGATGTTGGGTAGCCTATGCTTACTGAGGTGGTGGTGGTAGAGGGGAGGGAGGATGTTGGGTTGCCTATGGTTACTGAGGTGGTGGTAGAGGGGAGGGAGGATGTTGGGTAGACTGTGGTTACTGAGGTGGTGGTAGAGGGGAGGTGAGGGAGGATGTTGGGTAGCCTCTGGTTACTGAGGTGGTGGTAGAGGGGAGGGAGGATGTTGGGTAGCCTCTGGTTACTGAGGTGGTGGTAGAGGGAAGGGAGGGAGGATGTTAGGTAGCCTGTGGTTACTGAGGTGGTGGTAGAGGGGAGGGAGGATGTTGGGTTGCCTGTGGTTACTGAGGTGGTGGTAGAGGGGAGGGAGGATGTTGGGTTGCCTGTGGTTACTGAGGTGGTGGTGGTAGAGGGGAGGGAGGATGTTGGGTTGCCTGTGGTTACTGAGGTGGTGGTAGAGGGGAGGGAGGGAGGATGTTGGGTTGCCTGTGGTTACTGAGGTGGTGGTAGAGGGGAGGGAGGATGTTGGGTTGCCTGTGGTTACTGAGGTGGTGGTAGAGGGGAGGGAGGATGTTGGGTTGCCTATGGTTTCTGAGGTGGTGGTAGAGGGGAGGGAGGATGTTGGGTAGCCTGTTGTTACTGAGGTGGTGGTAGAGGGGAGGGAGGATGTTGGGTTGCCTATGGTTACTGAGGTGGTGGTGGAGGGGAGGGAGGGAGGATGTTGGGTTGCCTGTGGTTACTGAGGTGGTGGTAGAGGGGAGGGAGGATGTTGGGTTGCCTGTGGTTACTGAGGTGGTGGTAGAGGGGAGGGAGGATGTTGGGTTGCCTATGGTTACTGAGGTGGTGGTAGAGGGGAGGGAGGATGTTGGGTAGCCTATGGTTACTGAGGTGGTGGTAGAGGGGAGGGAGGATGTTGGGTTGCCTATGGTTTCTGAGGTGGTGGTAGAGGGGAGGGAGGATGTTGGGTAGCCTGTTGTTACTGAGGTGGTGGTAGAGGGGAGGGAGGATGTTGGGTTGCCTATGGTTACTGAGGTGGTGGTGGAGGGGAGGGAGGGAGGATGTTGGGTTGCCTGTGGTTACTGAGGTGGTGGTAGAGGGGAGGGAGGATGTTGGGTTGCCTGTGGTTACTGAGGTGGTGGTAGAGGGGAGGGAGGATGTTGGGTTGCCTATGGTTACTGAGGTGGTGGTAGAGGGGAGGGAGGATGTTGGGTAGCCTATGGTTACTGAGGTGGTGGTAGAGTGGAGGGAGGATGTTCGGTAGCCTATGGTTACTGAGGTGGTGGTAGAGGGGAGGGAGGATGTTGGGTAGCCTGTTGTTACTGAGGTGGTGGTGGAGGGGAGGGAGGGAGGATGTTGGGTAGCCTGTTGTTACAGAGGTGGTGGTAGAGGGGAGGGAGGATGTTGGGTAGCCTGTGGTTACTGAGGTGGTGGTAGAGGGGAGGGAGGATGTTGGGTAGCCTGTGGTTACTGAGGTGGTGGTAGAGGGGAGGGAGGGAGGGTGTTGGGTAGCCTATGGTTACTGAGGTGGTGGTAGAGGGGAGGGAAGGAGGATGTTGGGTAGCCTGTGGTTACTGAGGTGGTGGTAGAGGGGAGGGAGGGAGGATGTTGGGTTGCCTGTGGTTACTGAGGTGGTGGTAGAGGGGAGGGAGGATGTTGGGTAGCCTATGGTTACTGAGGTGGTGGTAGAGGGGAGGTGAGGATGTTGGGTTGCCTGTGGTTACTGAGGTGGTGGTAGAGGGGAGGGAGGGAGGATGTTGGGTAGCCTATGGTTACTGAGGTGGTGGTAGAGGGGAGGGAGGATGTTGGGTAGCCTGTGGTTACTGAGGTGGTGGTAGAGGGGAGGGAGGGAGGATGTTGGGTTGCCTGTGGTTACTGAGGTGGTGGTAGAGGGGAGGGTGGGAGGATGTTGGGTAGCCTGTGGTTACTGAGGTGAGGGTAGAGGGGAGGGAGGATGTTGGGTAGCCTGTGGTTACTGAGGTGGTGGTAGATGGGAGGGAGGATGTTGGGTTGCCTGTGGTTACTGAGGTGGTGGTAGAGGGAAGGGAGGGAGGATGTTAGGTAGCCTGTGGTTACTGAGGTGGTGGTAGAGGGGAGGGAGGATGTTGGGTAGCCTGTGGTTACTGAGGTGGTGGTAGAGGGGAGGGTCAGGATGCTTTATCCACTCGACCATGGAGATTGTACCCAAATCAGTAATCTAAAACTTCTTTTTCATTACCAAAACATATTTTTTCAGGTGTGTTTTCCGTAGACAGCAGAACAGGGGACATAATCCTGTTTGATGACCTTGACGCTGAGTCAAGGAGCTCCTACGAGTTGAAGGTGAAGGCTGAAGACCATGGGTATCCATCGCTGACATCAACAGGATCACTGATCATCAATGTTGATGATGTTAATGATAATCCCCCTGTATTCACGGCACCACATGGATACGTTGCTATGGTGTCCGAGATGGCTGATGTAACCATCAAGCCTATTGTGGAAATAGTAAGTATTCAGCAATGTTGAAGATCTCCTAATGAAATGATCATTAAATGATTAGTTGAGACAGTTCAAGCTACTATGAAAACTTCTAAATTTTGTATCAAGCTGTTTGTTTGTTATATTAAGATGTGAATCTGGACAGACAGTCCTACCCATAAGGGTAGAATGATTATGTGTAGTAACTAAAATATGCATTTTAGCCATTCTCGATGCTGACTGGTGATTGTATCCAAATGACATCACACTGCTTCATTGTTGAGAAAAAAATGATATGACATGACCAAAATGACCAGTTAAGTTCTGGAGTAGAATAAGTCTTCAGCAACCCATTCTTGCCGTAAAAGGTGATTATGCTTGTCGTAAGAGGTGACTAGCGGGATCAGGTGGTCAGGCTTGCTTGGTCAAGCAAGCCTGGTTGATGCATGTCATGGTATCCCAATTGTGTGGATGGATGCTCATGATGTCAGTCACTGGATTGTGTGGTCCAGACTCAGTTATTTACAGACTGCTTTCATATAGCTGGAATATTGCTGAGTGGGCGTTAAACAAACTAACAAAACACAAACTAATTACATTCCATTATTTGGCTGCCTTCTGTGAAGATTCTGTGTAGGATTGACAATCCATTTGCTTTTTCTTCATTTTCTCTCTTAAAATGTCGATGAGTAATATATAGAATAACCTCCTCGAATTACGGATCATCTGTCCCTCATTAAGCAATAAAGATCATTCAAGACCAATAAAGAGCAAACAAAGGCAATAAAGAACATTCCAAAGCAATCCAACGTAGCACAACGTGGATTTCTTATAAAATTATCTTTGAAGGAAGTAAACTCATTTTTATTAGACATCACTCAACACATGAAAAGTTTGGATGATGTTAAGTCCAACAATTTGAGCATATGTGATTGGATGTCGTCTATTAGCATTATGTCTGTATCGATAACATATTCACATTCTGGACTTCTCCAAAATTTCCAGATGAGTTGATTTAAGTTGAAACATTCTGATGTGTGGTGGGCATGTAGTATTTCTGGTTTAAAGGGACTCAATAGATCTATTAATCATAATGGCATTATCAATACAAAATTATAATCTACTGTAGGGGAACAGGGGGACCAGTAATCTTGAGGCACTATAATTCGCTGTCCTGAGTTACTTCCCTTTGACATGCCAGAACTCTTAATGATCATGGGTTCAAATCCCAGTTCAACCTAATTATGTTTCTAGGTTTGTCAGCACCATACCCATGCTTATGGGTTTTACTTAATTGGTAAATGTCTAAGACCCGCATCAGTTCAGGATTTCCTCCCACATCAGGCTGACAAGCTGTTCAAAGTGGCATATTACTCATAATACTATCAAGTGTTAGGGACAGAAATACTTGCCAATACATTCTACATTTGAGGTGCATATCTCATTTCCAGACAACGGACTCTTCAATAGGTGCCAGAGTTGTCCGTCCTTGATGCTGACATAGAGGGAGCCACTGACGGTGTCTGGTTTGGTTTGGAAGGATTTGGACACAGCGACTTCCGCCTGGATCCAGTCACAGGTCAGCTGACAGTACGCGAGAATGCCACGCTGGATGCAGATCTCCAACAGATATATAAGCTAAAGGTATGATTACCAAAGTCATCTTTCATTCAACAGCATAGACTTGGTAGAGGATGTTTGCTTTAATATGACCTTCAAACTTGATGAGCTGTTAGATAGCTTAGTGGTTAAAGTGTTTGCTCATCAAACTGAAAAAAAGAGTTTAATATTCTACATGGGTAACACTTGTGAAACGCATCCTTGGTGCCCCTAGGATATAGAATTTTGCTAAGGGTGTCGTAAAACCATATTTATTCCCTGTGATAATGAATGAAATGGTTATGTTTCAAAATTTCAAGAGCATTGGGGAATTCCAAGGCCGCTTTTCTTGCTCTTCTGATTGAAAGTCAAGTGAGTTTATGGAATGGCCTGCCTGTCTTGCCTTCTCCTGAGAAACAACTTGACCAAATGAAACTTCCCATAATGACACCTGAACTGAATAGAGGTTTTCATTTCGCTTCCAATATGGCCGCCACAACAGCCATATTATGTTATGATTACTGCCAGTATGGTTCAAAATGTAATGAAACTTGGTATGTGTGTAGTTAGCAGTGGGATTCAACATATATATTCCACCTTTTGTGATATTTTTAACTTGACCTTGATATGATGTGGATTGACCATGATTAAAGATGAAAATTCTTCTGGCCATAACTCAGACAATTTTCTTTGAAAATGCACTGCTGTTTGGTATATGTGTAGTTAATAGTGGGGCTGAACACATATACATTTTGTGTTATTTAAATTTTGACATTTGCATTTGGACTATGCTCCTAAATTTAGCTCCGTAAATTTAGGGAGGTGAGCATGAATGCTGATCCTTATGGTGGCATCCTATTTTGTTCTGTACATAGATTTTATTGTCACATTTTAGTATTTTAATATGCATAAATGTTTAAACATCAGTGCTGGAAGCAACTGTCGACTACATATATAGGTGAGCTACAGTGCTGTAGCACTATTCTCTGTGAAAAATACATCGTTGTTTTTCAGATGAATCTCAATCAGTATTTGGTGATTTATTTATCTCACTGAAGTAGCTTTAAGAGAAAAGTGATTCTGTGATCAGTATTACTGAATATGAAAGTTAGTCAGGGATTGCAAAGTTATTAGGAAACAACTGAGCAAGTGAATAATCAAGTAACTGGGGATACCCGCTGGTTTGTTTGGCCCAGACAATTTACAGGCGGACTTGTTTAGAGATAAACGACTCATGGTCGTTGTTTGTTGTTCAATAAAACACTGCAGGGAGAATAAACCATTAGGGGCTTCTTTAAGTAAGATGATAAAATGTACAAGTTGTAAAAATATTTACCCGTATTTTAATAATGATGACTCCCTGAATAGAATCCGACAACGGCAATTTCGGACAAATCCGTTTCATTAACACATGGGTTTGGTATTGGTATTTCCCGGATATTCTCACAATCCTCAAGTCGATTATCTGTTCCTTTTCTCCCAAGACCAATTGTCATATCTCTCCCACTATTGGATGTGATCGTTCGGCTACTGCGCTGCTCAGCTAACTCAATGGGAACAACTCATCAGACACTTCCCCCTCAAAAATAATGTTGTCCAATACATGATGTCATCAAGTTGTGAGCGCATCATGATAGAACAATGTTTTATCGTGAAATAAGCCACACTTTGTCCTTCATTGTTCTTTGTGATTTATGGCCTAACTATCTTACATATAGCAAAAACATCCATCAATAACTCCTTCCCCTGTAGATAACAGCAATAGATCAGGGGGTTACTGGACTGAAGGCCACAGCAGCACTGAACATCACCATTGAGGATGTCAATGATAACCCGCCGGTGTTCCGCCAGACAGTGGAGGGCATTCTGTCCCCTCTTGTGGTGGACCCCTCCTCCCCTCTTGGGACGGTGATCTACACATTCCTGGCTGACGACGCCGATGCTGATGCAGACAACAGGAGGATCACCTACATGCTGCAGAGCGGGGGATATGGGAAGTTCTCCGTGGATCCATTCTCTGGTAAACCCCTTGTTTCTGTCGATGATAACAGACACTATATCAGATTTTGGATGGAATTGTTTGCACATAATGGCCTGTATTGGCCTGGGTCAAGTTCTCCAAAGCAAAATGCTGTCCTGACTGTAGGTTCACGCTCTTGTCCTGACTGTAGGTTCATGCTCTTGTCCTGACTGTAGGTACATGCTCTTGTCCTGACTGTAGGTTCACGCTCTTGTCCTGACTGTAGGTACATGCTCTTGTCCTGACTGTAGGTTCATGCTCTTGTCCTGACTGTAGGTTCATGCTCTTGTCCTGACTGTAGGTTCATGCTCTTGTCCTGACTGTAGGGACATACTCTTGTCCTGACTGTAGGGACATACTCTTGTCCTGACTATAGGTTCATGCTCTTGTCCTGACTGTAGGTTCATGCTCTTGTCCTGACTATAGGTTCATGCTCTTGTCCTGACTGTAGGGACATACTCTTGTCCTGACTATAGGTTCATGCTCTTGTCCTGACTGTAGGTTCATGCTCTTGTCCTGACTATAGGTTCATGCTCTTGTCCTGACTGTAGGTTCATGCTCTTGTCCTGACTATAGGTTCATGCTCTTGTCCTGACTGTAGGTTCATGCTCTTGTCCTGACTGTGGGAACATGCTCTTGTCTCGACTGTAGGTTCATGCTCTTGTCCTGACTGTCTGTTCATGCTCTTGTCTCGACTGTAGGTTCATGCTCTTGTCCTGACTGTAGGTTCATGCTCTTGTCCTGACTATAGGTTCATGCTCTTGTCCTGACTGTAGGTTCATGCTCTTGTCCTGACTGTAGGTTCACGCTCTTGTCCTGACTGTAGGTTCATGCTCTTGTCCTGACTGTAGGAACATGCTCTTGTCCTGACTATGTTCAAAGTCTGCTCTTGCTCTAATGATAACAAACATGATTTTATGTACCAAACGAAACAATGAACTCAAGAACATCTTAGGCTACGAGGCCAGTGCTGGTTTGTCCAATGGTGACATTGAATAATGAACACTACAACACAACACCTAGTCCACTACAAGTCAGACTGATCACCGGTGAATATTTACAGGCGAAGTAAAGATCGCTGATGACTTGACCCGCGACCCCCTGGAGAAGGACTACTTCCTGACTGTGAAGGCTGTCGACTCCGGGTCCCCGTCCCTGTCAGCTGACGCTGTGCTGCAGCTGCACGTGCCCCTCAACACCCGGCCGCAGCCTCAGTCTGACATCCAGCTGCAGGTGCCCGAGAACATCACCGTGGGAGACGTGGTGGACGTGATCTACATCAGGGACTTTGACTCCCAGTCAGATGGCTTCCAGTACTTGCTGGACACAACTGTGTGTATGTAAAGTATTGAATACTGTATACTTAAGAACAAATATAAAAAAAGATATTTTAAAAAATCGCATCAGCAGTAATTTTCTTTTTTGTTGCATCCAAATTTAATTCTGACCAGAAAACAATATCAGGATTAAGTACATAAAATTGCTTTGAAAATGTTCCGACCTTGGAGTGAAAAGTTCTGGCAGGAACAAAACAAAATGCCAGTGATGAAGTATCCTGAAGATGTAACAGAAAATGGGACAAGATGAAAAAAAAGTACCATGGCAACAAAGATATATGAAAAATATTTTATATGAATTTGTTGGGTTTTTAAAAAAATGTCAACAGATATATCAAGTGAGGAATTTTCACACATTTCACATGGTAGAACATATGTCTGTGAAAGTTCCTGAATGACACTGTGATGGGAACCAAGACTATACGTAATATACACCTCCAAAGGAACAAATGTTGGTAGTAAAATTTGGAACTTATATTTGCATAGAACCAAACCTTGTTTACAGAATTACTATACATCAATGGTCTGATCAGTCAGTAGGATCTTGGGTCAAGGCTAAGTTAAACCCATCTGATTCCTTTCAGCTGAGTTCACCATCGACCCTCTGAGAGGCGAGATACGAACAGTGAAGCCCTTGGATGCTGAGTTCCGCAGTGAGTACATCCTCCCTATCACCATCATCGACCGCGGCTTCCCCACCCACACGGTCTCCACCACTGCTACTGTGACAGTCAGCGATGTCGATGACAACCTGCCCCAGTTCTCGGCCCTGACGGAGTACACAGCAACCCTACAGGAAGGCAGATATGATGCAGAACAGGAACTCATCTTGGTTAGTTTGCCAGCTTTGTATAAATTAGGGCTGAGACGAGTCCAAATTTACTACCCGACCTTACCCAGGTACCCGCTGTGTCTCAAGAGATTGTCCTATAGGGAATAGATTGACCGTAGCCCTGGCAAAATGAATTTAGGTACTCGTATAAAATGATCTGGTCATGCATACACTGAAGTTGACTGAAGTCCGAAAGATATGCCAGCATTAGTCACCCATTCAGTGTATCGCTGCTGTTATGTGTGGAGGGTGATTCTGCATCAATAACCTGTATGTCAGGTTTTAAGTTTTATATGATCGCTGAGTGCGGTCCCATAAGTTTTGAAAATGGCCCCATGTGTTTATGCTGAAGGGGTCCCTGTCCCCACCAGTACACTGATACATGTTAACTCATACCCTTTAAATACTCGATTGACCCGTGAATATCTGGGATAGAATAGATCTTCAGCAGCCCGTGCTTGCCATAAAAAAGCGAAAGGTCAGAGTCGCTGACTTGGCATCGTATCCCAATTGCATGGATTGATGCTTATGACATCAATCACTGGATTGTCAGGTCCAGACGCGATTATTTACAGACAAATAATATTACTGCTGGAATATTGCTGAGTGCGATGTTAAACAAAAAAACTGACAAAAATAAAAAATAAGTAAATAATACTCGATCAGTATTTCCCTCATGAAGGACAGAAGTAGCCCTTCGTCATTACAAACAATAAATAAGATGAACAAGGGAGACAGTTCTATGGATATACAAATTCTTTATTACAATGAATGCAACGTTTTCATGTAGATACTCCAATTATCAAGAAAGTGCTTCACTTAATAAATTGATTATAAGAAAGAAGTTGTATAGCCATAGAATTATCTTCCTTGTTCATCTTACCAATTTCTAAATGCCACTTTAAGATTTGCTTGTTTGTTTGTTTGTTTGTTGTTTAATACTGCACTCAGCAATATTTCAGGTATATGATGGCGGTGTGTAAATAATCGAGTGATTCACATCATGAGCCTCGATCCACCCAATTGGGATATGATGACATGCATCAACCAAGTCAGCGAGCCTGATCACCCAATCCGTGGCTTTAAACGGCAAGCATGGGTTGCTGAACCCCCATTCTACCCCGGATCTTCACGGGTCCCCCAGAAATCAAGAAGTTGTTATCTATTACAGTTCCTCGTGGTGGGAACTGTGTGAGAAATGCAGTGTTTTGTGTTACCAGTGTTGTGTTGTGTCCTCAGTCTCCAGGCCTGGCAGTCTGGGACAGGGACATCAGTGCCAGCAACAGCGAGTACAGGGTGTTCCTGAAGGGTCACGGCAGCGACATGTTCCAGATCACACCAGATGGTACCCGTATTCTTCTCAAAGGATCGTCCATGCTGGATGCGGAGAATGTCCCAGACTACCATCTCCAGGTGAGACTTGCAAGAAAAGGGGTAGGTAGCCTCGTGGTTACAGCTTTCTCTCACTACCATCTCCAGGTGAGACTTGCAAGAAAAGGGGTAGGTAGCCTCGTGGTTACAGCTTTCTCTCACTACAATCTCCAGGTGAGACTTGCAAGAAAAGGGGTAGGTAGCCTCGTGGTTACAGCTTTCTCTCACTATGCCAAAGACAAGGGTCGATTGCCAGCATTGGTTCAATGTGAGAAGCAAAGACTCATTGGTCTAAATACTCTCTGGTTTCCCTCTCGCTGAAACCAGACTGTGGATTGATCTGTTTGTTAGAAATAACAACTGCAATGCAGAACAATTCTTGTTCAACCCGTAAAGATCCGGGTTAGAATAGGTCTTCAGCAACCCATGCTTGCCGTAAAAGGCGACTATGCTGGTCATAAGGTTGGTTGACTTGGTTGATGCACGTCATCATATCCCAATTGCCTAGATTGATGCTCTTGATAACAATCACTGGATTGTCTGGTTCAGATTGATCTATGAGGACGAACATATCAGGGTTCATAAAAACCATATGTGCCCTCAGGTCATGCCACATCAGGAGACAACAGTGTATTGTTTCCGTCATCCGGACGGCATTGTTGACGTCATAGATGAAGATTGTTGATGTCAATCGACAAATTGTGGCTCTGCTGCTGTTGTGACTTGATGTCCTTATAGGTAAACTCTAAAATTTGTCTCTGTATGCCGACTTTTTTTTCGGTAATAAATAGAACATTATATTCGTGTTCATGGTATACTATGTTTACGACATAGTTTACGGATTTTAGACACTTGTGTCATAAACATAGTATGACATGAACACGAATATAATGTTCCTTTGTATCACTATGTACCAATACATGACGCCTTGGTACAACGACTGCCTCTGTGGTCTATTGGTAGAGCATCCGCCCGGAGAGCGGAAGGTCCGTTGTTTGATCCCCGGCCGCATCATACCAAAAGACGTTAAAAGATGGTACTTGTTGTTACCCTGTCTGGCGCTCGGCATTAAGGGGCTAAAACAAGGACTGGTCGGCTCGGAGTCAGTATACTGTGTCTGAGTGGGGTATTCATGTTAAACTGCGGCATGGTATCTCAGTGAGCTAGCACTATAAATCAGCATCAGTCCGGACTAGTACAAACAGCCACACACACACACGTACATGCACATCGCTATATAAGTGCAATAATCTTGGACGCGACGTTAAACCCCATTTCACCTCACCTCACCTTGATACAACATATGTATCATAGCAAAAGGTATCATAATGCATTGGCTTGTCGATGAATCGCTCCAGCCCGAATACTTACCAATACCAGTATGTATGAATTCCGCTGATCTACTGTTTCAGATAATTGCCGAGAGTGTACAGAATGACTGGCGCCACACTGGCGTCAACCTGACCATATCTGTAGAGGATGAGAATGACCATGCTCCGTACCTGCCCCACGGCCAGGAGTTTACTGTGGATCCTGCCAGCAGTGTTGGCACTGTGGTCGGCGCTGTTGTCGCTGTCGACGAAGATGTTGTCAGCCCTAACAACGATGTCATGTACATCATGAGAGAAGATGGATATGGGAAGTTTGGAATTGACATTGACGATGGTACACTTAGCTTTAAGAGTATTTCTCGTATGTTTCTATTTAAGCTGAAAACAATTTGACCATTCTATCAGGCAAGAGTTTGTTTCTGGTAAATTTGTCTTAGACCATGCAGCACTGAATGAATACGGGAATTAGTTACTTATACCCGTCCCTGCCACCAAGTAGAAGCAATGCGATATGGAGCACAATGACCACATGGTCTGAATACTGGAGAGAGCCACGGGTAGCCTTTGTTACCAACTGGGATTTTTCATTAAAGAAATCTAAACAAAGAAACAAATATGCTTATTAAGGGCAAAGTTGTTTTTTTTTAAGGAAAAATTAAATTTATGAGTTTCCCCAACAAACCCGTTTTAGTTGCAGGTTGATGTATGCCCATGCAATGGCAAAGATGTCTGCTGTAACCTTTTTGATTAGGATCTTACTGAGAGCATTTTATGATTGGTAAAAAATATTTAACAACCCAAAAGTGTAATTTTTATAGGCCAAATTGCTTGTAGAATATACGAAGGAAACAATATTCTTGAGTCATCTCAACATCAAAGACAAGGATGGGGTAGAATTAGAAACCTTTTGCCCAGCTGGAAATGTCATAGGTTGAAATTTCTTACTCTTGCAAGTTTTGGTCTCATGTTCAAATGTTAGTAAAACATTTCCTGAAAGGTCTGAGAATCAGCACTTTTGACACATTTAAGGCCTTACAGATTCAAAAGTGCTGCTATAGGTCCAAAACATGCAAGTGTTGAAATAAATAAAGTCTTAATTATCATTCCTATGAACACATCTGATAACAGATCCTGTTGGACCAACATGGTCTTAACATGCAGATCCAGTGTGACCAACATGGTCTTAACATGCAGATCCAGTGTGACCAAAATGGTCCTTAACATGCAGATCCAGTGTGACCAAAATGGTCCTTAACATGCAGATTCAGTGTGACCAAAATGGTCTTAACATGCAGATCCAGTGTGACCAACATGGTCCTTAACATGCAGATCCAGTGTGACCAAAATGGTCCTTAACATGCAGATTCAGTGTGACCAAAATGGTCCTTAACATGCAGATCCAGTGTGACCAAAATGGTCCTTAACATGCAGATCCAGTGTGACCAAAATGGTCATTAACATGCGGATTCAGTGTGACCAAAATGGTCCTTAACATGCAGATCCAGTGTGACCAACATGGTCATTAACATGCGGATTCAGTGTGACCAAAATGGTCCTTAACATGCAGATCCTGTGGGACCTAAATGGTCATTAACATGCGGATTCAGTGTGACCAAAATGGTCCTTAACATGCAGATCCTGTGGGACCTAAATGGTCATTATCATACCTTGTTCTAAGCAACACACTCTCCAAGTGACCAAATTCAGAATCCCCAATAGCATATTATCATTTTATGTTGAAGGAAACCTATTTGTGAAGAATAGCCTCACTCTGGAACCTACCCTTGACCTCTATGAACTCCAAGTTGTGGCTGTAGACAAAGGCTACCCAGCATTGACAGGCTCCACCATGGTCAGAATCAATGTACCGATCAACAAGCCGATCACTGTGCCGAAGTCGGTAACGTTCAGTGTTGACGAGGATGCTGACATTGGTAAAGAGGTGGGCAGGATCAACATCACACAGCCAGACGGAGACACTGGGACTGTAGAGTACAGGCTGCTCAATACTGGTGGTCAGTCTGTAGTTATTTTGTGTACTCTCCCCAGGGAGTTGAGAGTTTAATTGCTGTTGATATAACTGTACTTGAGAAATTGCCTCTGTGGTGTCTTGCAATGTATAAGAGTGAGTGAGTTTGGTTTTGCGCCGCTTTTAGCAATATTGCATCAATATCATGGCGGGGGACACCAGAAATGGGGTTCACACATTGTACCCATATAGGGAATCAAACCTTGGTCTTCAGCATGACGAGCAAACACTTTAACAATTATCATTTAATCATTGTGTTAATTTTGAAAAAGGTGAAAGTTACAATTTTCTTTTTCTTTTGTTCCTTTGCAGATTAGGTCCGAGTACCCCATGTTTGACTTTGCAAAGTGTATGATAACAAAGACACTTTGAATTGATGCTCATGCTATCAATCACCCGTTTGCCTTTTTCAGAATGGAACTGGCCTGTAATTTATACCTGTGACCCTGGTGAACTGAAAATGGCTTTTGATCAAACACTTGTACCTCTTTCAGTTCCTTTCACCATTGACACCAGCAAGGGAATAATCCGAACCTCTACATCCTTGGATGCGGATACAGATGCGGAGTATGTTCTTCAAGTGGCGGTGACCAACCGTGGCGTGCCCACCTACACCTCCACAACATCAGTGACGGTAGCTGTTGGCAACATCAATGACAACCCTCCACAGTTCACATCAGACCAGGGCTACACAGCAACAGTGGTGGAGAACTATGACGTCACACTCTTGAATGTGGTCAGTATTTCATCCTGATGTATTTGGATAGGTCCCCAGCAGTCTATGCTGGTTGTGAGAGAGATTTGGTTGATAGCTGTAGCGTGGCATGGTTCTCCAACAGCCTGGATAGCTGCTCATAATACCAATCACTGTATTGTTTCGTCAAGACTCGATTATTTACAGACCACCATATTTCTAGAATTTTGTTCAGTGTAGTCAGACAAACAGACAGACAGACAGACAAAACCATCTTAAGGCACTGATACAGATTGCCAAGGAGCTGAAGTCATTGCTGTCTGAACAGACAGTGTCAACTTCATCCATGGACACTTCTGTGTGCTCAATCATGCTTATGTTGCTGGGCCTGGAGTCATCCCACAGATGACATCCTTACCTTGTCAGTGTAGCAGGGTGTGGAGTCATCCCACAGATGACATCCTTACCTTGTCAGTGTAGCAGGGCGTGGAGTCATCCCACAGATGACATCCTTACCTTGTCAGTGTAGCAGGGTGTGGAGTCATCCCACAGATGACATCCTTGCCTTGTCAGTGTAGCAGGGTGTGGAGTCATCCCACAGATGACATCCTTGCCTTGTCAGTGTAGCAGGGTGTGGAGTCATCCCACAGATGACATCCTTACCTTGTCAGTGTAGCAGGGTGTGGAGTCATCCCACAGATGACATCCTTACCTTGTCAGTGTAGCAGGGTGTGGAGTCATCCCACAGATGACATCCTTACCTTGTTAGTGTAGCAGGGTGTGGAGTCATCCCACAGATGACGTCTTGTCAGTGTAGCAGGGTGTGGAGTCATCCCACAGACGACATCCTTACCTTGTCAGTGTAGTAGGGCATGGAGTCATCCCACAGATGACATCCTTGCCTTGTCAGTGTAGCAGGGTGTGGAGTCATCCCACAGATGACATCCTTACCTTGTCACTGTCGAAGGGTGTGGAGTTATCCAACAGATGACATCCTTACCTTGTAAGAGTAGCAGGGTGTGGAGTCATCCCACAGACGACATCCTTACCTTGTCAGTGTAGTAGGGCATGGAGTCATCCAACAGATGACATCCTTGCCTTGTCAGTGTAGCAGGGTGTGGAGTCATCCCACAGATGACATCCTTACCTTGTCAGTGTCGAAGGGTGTGGAGTTATCCAACAGATGACATCCTTACATTGTAAGAGTAGCAGGGTGTGGAGTCATCCCAGAGATGACATCCTTACCTTGTCAGTGTTGAAGGATGTGGAGTCAACCCACAGATGACATCCTTACCTTGTCAGGGGAGCAGGGTGTAGAGTTATCCTACAGATGACATCCTTACCTTGTCAGAGTAGCAGGGTGTGGAGTCATCCCACAGATGACATCCTTACCTTGTCAGGGGAGCAGGGTGTAGAGTTATCCTACAGATGACATCCTTACCCTGTCAGTGTAGCAGGGCGTGGAGTCATCCCACAGATGACATCCTTGCCTTGTCAGTGTAGCAGGGTGTGGAGTCATCCCACAGATGACATCCTTGCCTTGTCAGTGTAGCAGGGTGTGGAGTCATCCCACAGATGACATCCTTACCTTGTCAGTGTAGCAGGGTGTGGAGTCATCCCACAGATGACATCCTTACCTTGTCAGTGTAGCAGGGTGTGGAGTCATCCCACAGATGACATCCTTACCTTGTTAGTGTAGCAGGGTGTGGAGTCATCCCACAGATGACATCTTGTCAGTGTAGCAGGGTGTGGAGTCATCCCACAGACGACATCCTTACCTTGTCAGTGTAGTAGGGCATGGAGTCATCCCACAGATGACATCCTTGCCTTGTCAGTGTAGCAGGGTGTGGAGTCATCCCACAGATGACATCCTTACCTTGTCACTGTCGAAGGGTGTGGAGTTATCCAACAGATGACATCCTTACCTTGTAAGAGTAGCAGGGTGTGGAGTCATCCCACAGACGACATCCTTACCTTGTCAGTGTAGTAGGGCATGGAGTCATCCAACAGATGACATCCTTGCCTTGTCAGTGTAGCAGGGTGTGGAGTCATCCCACAGATGACATCCTTACCTTGTCAGTGTCGAAGGGTGTGGAGTTATCCAACAGATGACATCCTTACATTGTAAGAGTAGCAGGGTGTGGAGTCATCCCAGAGATGACATCCTTACCTTGTCAGTGTTGAAGGATGTGGAGTCAACCCACAGATGACATCCTTACCTTGTCAGGGGAGCAGGGTGTAGAGTTATCCTACAGATGACATCCTTACCTTGTCAGAGTAGCAGGGTGTGGAGTCATCCCACAGATGACATCCTTACCTTGTCAGGGGAGCAGGGTGTAGAGTTATCCTACAGATGACATCCTTACCCTGTCAGTGTAGCAGGGCGTGGAGTCATCCCACAGATGATATTCTTACCTTGTCAGTGGAGCAGGGTGTGGAGTCATCCAACAGATGACATCCTTACCTTGTCAGCTTGTTGACGGGGTTAACCTCTTTGGTCATGTTGACAAGGCGTCCGACCTCAGATCAGAAGATCCATGGTTCGAATCCCATCACGGGACTCAGAAATTTTATGACCGCTATACTTAGATGGGTGGACACCTGAAAAATGAGTCCATGTCAAACATTTTTTTTCAGATTCCAACTGTAGCAGTCATAGATCTAGATAACAGGGGCACTGTCATGGATGTGGAATACTCCCTGGGAGGAAACCACTCCGACCTGTTCACGATCAACCCACTATCAGCTGCTGTCAGCATCAAGGATCCTCAGGGCCTGGATGCAGAGCATGCTCTTGTGTATAATCTCACGGTACGTCACCCAAGGTCATGAAATGTGATGGAAGTGTTTTCATGGAGAAATGCTGATCATTTCGTAACAAGTTGTTTTGTGGCTTGAGCTAATATGTTAAGAGTTTTAGTCTAATAGACCACTGATGGAAAGATGCTAGGGCGGACACCTTCCTTGTTTTAGAGACTTCCCTTTGTCAGTCCGTCCTTGTGTTTTTGTTCACTTCGTGAGCACCGTTTGTAAAATCCTGTATCCACCTCGGCTGACAGAATCATGAATGTCCGGGTTTTAAGATTTTGGGGGTCCCTATATTACAAAAAAAAAACAATATGAAGTGCAAGTGCCACAAACCCGTGAAGATCCGGGGTGGAATGTGTCTTCAGCAACCCATGCTTGCCATAAAAGGCAGCTATACTTGTCGCAAGAGAGGACTAACGGGATCGGGTGGTCAGGCTTGGTGACTTGGTTGATGCATGTCATCGTATCCCAAATGCGTAGATCAATGCTCGTGATATCAATCACTGGGTTATCTGGTTTTAGACCCAATCACTTACAGACCACCATCATATATCTTAAATATTTGTGTTTTTTGACAACAAACAAACAAACAAAGCAAGTGTCACAGGACCACTCATAGTTTCTGACACCGTTAGGAACATATCACAAGGAAGATTATGAGTAACTTTATAAAACCTACACCTTGTTTGTTCTTCATGTTGATGTACAGGTATTTAGAAGTTAGATTGAAAGTTAGGCAGATGTTGTTTTACGGGGTTTTTAAGCCTGAATAAAGACATTACGCCGTCATTAGCTTTCTTCATGTTGATGTATCTAATCTGACCATGACTGTTCCAGCTCACTGCTACAGATGACAACGGTAAAGGTCTGAAAACTCATGCTAACCTGAAGGTGAAGGTGAAGGATGTTAACGACAACTCGCCTCGCTTTGACTACAATCACGTTGTGAAGGTAGACCCCAGAAGCCTGGTTGGCTATGAGGTTGCTACTGTAAAGGCTGTTGATGACGACGGCTCTCCTGAGAATAACAGACTCATGTACTTCCTTCAAGACGGTGTCGGTAAATTCAGAATCAACCCCTTGACAGGTGAGAGGCGTACCTGGGGGGTACAGGTTACAATGTCCCAATGTCCCAGCATGAGCAGTACTCTGAAGACCGAGCATTTATGATGTATGGCGTGGCTGATGTCTCATGCTGCTAATTGCTGTTTTGCCATTTTATATCAGGAATATTGCTGACTGACATACAACAATTTCTTCACACTCAATACTGATTATGAGGGCAAACTTAACAGAGGAACGAGTATTTACTGTGAATGACATGGCTTGCCCCACTATTGTTGTCAGTTGCTCATGCTGTCAACCACTATTTTTGCCATGATAGGTATATAAATTTCCGCACACTGGCTACTGATCTGCTGTCGGGACCCAGGTAAAAATAAGTCCTCAGCACTCTGTTGTTTGTCATGAGGCAACTAAACTTGGATCGGGTGGTCAGGCATGATGCATGTCACTGTATTTTGATAATACTGTTCATAATATATATGACTGGTTTGTCTGGTCCAGACTCAAGGCCACCTTGACACAGCGTTTCTGACTGCGGTGTTCAACAACAAACAAACATGATTTTAGGCACAATCTCGTTGTCATCGAGACTGACGGAGGAGCCTTTGAGGTCAGAGTACAGCCTTGGAGTGAGGGTGGTAGACTCAGGCTTCCCCCCGCAGACGGCCGACACCACGGTGAGGGTGCTGGTAGAGCTGAATCAACCAGCTGTGTACGAGCTGACCCAGGACTTCCATGTGACGGAGAACCGCCCCGCCAGTACCATGGTGGGCATCCTGGACGTCGCTGACCCTGATGGCAGGGCCCTGGAGTTCACCTCACTGGATCACTCAGGTACACACTGGATCACTCAGGTACACAATGGATCACTCAGGTACACATTGGATCACTCAGGTACACACTGGATCACTCAGGTACACATGGGATCACTCAGGTACACATGGGATCACTCAGGTACACACTGGATCACTTAGGTACACACTGGATCACTCAGGTACACACTGGATCACTCAGGTACACATTAGATCACTCAGGTACACACTGGATCATGCAGGTACACGCTGGATCATGCAGGTACATGCTGGATCACTCACGTACACACTGGATCACTCACGTACACACTGGATCACTCACGTACACACTGGATCACTCACGTACACATGGGATCACTCACGTACACACTGGATCACTCAGGTACACATTGGATCACTCAGGTACACATGGAATCACTCAGGTACACATTGGATCACTCAGGTACACATGGGATCACTCAGGTACACACTGGATCACTCAGGTACACATTGCATCACTCAGGTACACATTAGATCTCTCAGGTACACACTGGATCACTCAGGTACACATTGGATCACTCAGGTACACATTGGATCACTCAGGTACACATTGGACCACTCAGGTACACATTGGATCACTCAGGACACATTGGATCACTCAGGTACACATGGGATCACTCAGGTACACACTGGATCACTCAGGTACACACTGGATCACTCAGGTACACATGGGATCACTCAGGTTCAGATTGGATCACTCAGGTTCAGATTGGATCACTCAGGTACACATGGAATCACTCAGGTACACATTAAATCACTCAGGTACACATTGGGTCACTCAGGTACACATTAAATCACTCAGGTACACATTGGGTCACTCAGGTACACATTAAATCACTCAGGTACACATTGGGTCACTCAGGTACACATTAGATCACTCACGTACACATGGGAACACTCAGGTACACATGGGATATATACAATACAATGTGTTTTCAGATTTCTTCTTATTATTGATTGAAATCTCTGTCTTACACCATTTCCAGGTATCATATATTCAATAACACCTGCAAATATGTTAACACTTAATGACTCCTAATTAAACCCAAGTGCAAAATCAGATTCACCAGAAGCACTCGTAAAATCTACATCATCATCATCACCATCATCATCATCAGCATCATGATCATCATCATCCTAATTCACTCACTTGTTCTGGTTATTGTGCAGTGCCACTGGCTGTTGACCGGACAACGGGCACGATCCACACCACATCCTCCCTGGACCGGGAGAAGTCCGCATCTGTCAGCCTCCCTGTGCAAGTGGTGGACCAGGGTGCACCCTCCTTCACCGGCACCATCATCACCACCGTCCACATCCTGGACATCAACGACAACAGTCCCACCTTCAATGTAGCCGATGGATATCATGGAGTTGTCCCCGAGACCTTCGACTCCCTTGACCCGTACATCGTGTATCTGGTATGTGACGAGGGAGGTTGAAGCTGCTTTGTCATTCAAAACTGGCTCCCACAGTAGATATCGCTTGGGTGAGATCAAGCGATATCTACATTGTAGATATCGCTGGAATGAAATTGCGTCACAATGCTTTGCAAACCATTGTGACGTCATTGGTTACCATCACATCTCAATCATATGACATCACTTATGGCTCTGCTAGCAGTACTTTTTACACTTAAGACACTGCTTATTACTGTATACAAACTGAAAAAGTTGGAAGAATGATGTTGGATGATAAATAAATCTCATCTTCATGTCTTTTGATATAAAATATATCAACACTCTTTGATAAAAGTGGAAAAACTCCTATGCAAATTTTCCACTTTTAGCAACTCGTGTAGATATATTTGATATCAAAAGACTCGGTTGAGATTCTCTATGTGTCAAAAGACAAACATGAAGTTGGTTTGAAGATAAATTCTTTGTCGACGTTCCAAAATTCCTTGTATTGAAGATGTTAATAGCATGTTTCAAATCCAAATTTGCTTAATGTAAGTGCAATCATTGTAAGAAGGTCGTGTCTCACACTGAAAGTAAGTGCTGTTCATGTGTTCTGCAGAATCGGCCGATAGTTGTGGATGATGCCGACCCCGATGCTGACCTGGAAAACATTCAGCTCAGGCTGACCGGACCTGGCAGTGACCTGTTCCAGATAGACCGGGCTTCAGGGCATCTTATTCTCCACACTCCCCAGAGTGTTGACAGTGAAACCCAGGCCACCTTCAACCTGACTGTAAGACTTCTGGGTCCCGTTCAACAAAGCGATCATAACGCTACGACTGTCATAAGTCTATGTTAAAGTGGTGATTGTCTTTGCGCTACAATCGCTTTATGGAACGAGGTCCTACACATCTATTATACTGTAACACTCTGAACAGCTCTCCATTTGGGTCGCAGATATGTGCCTGAAAATATCACTTGGCTACGTAAATGATAAGGGCCGTTATAGGCTGGCTGCTCGGAAGACCTTTTTCAGCTAATGATGATATTTAAATCTATTTGTTGTAACCGAACAACAAAAGATGTTTCTGTTGAGCACTTTGATCATAAATGCGTTCATGTCACTTCTACTTTTGAGGAACTATTTTATTCCGTGATACAGCCGGTTGTTGTGTGGCTGTCAACATGAAGTCACACACACTAAATGAAATTGTGCATTCATCCTTCAAGATAGAAAATAGTGTTACAAGCCCCAACATTCATACAGTTTGGCCCTCACTATGAATGTTCATACTCCAATGAACCTGCAAAACATGAAAGTCATTTCTTAATAAATGTGTCGACTAATGGGACCAGGTGGTCAGGCTGGCTGACTTGGTTGATACATGTCCTCGTATCCCTCTTGTGTAAATCAATGCTCATAATATACACTTGATCTTACAGTCCAGACTCGATTATTTACAAACGCCATCATGTAGCTGGAATATTGCTAACAAACAAACAAAACCACCAATTGATATGGATCAAGACCGTCAACTATTTGTCAATTATTGGCTGTCATCAGTGTGGTATTCTTTCACCTTCACATATGGACTGCTGTGTGTCTTGCAGCTGACTGCAGTGGATGACTCCGGTGGGAAGACTCAGCAGTCGTCGGTGCCGGTGTTTATTGATGTAGATGACTTTAATGACAATCCACCGGAATTCAAGGATGATTTTGAGTTTGAAGTGGCCACGAACACACCAGTCGGTGCAGAGATCGGGACAGTTGTGGCCACGGATAGAGACGTCTCCGAGAGGAATAACAAACTCACCTACATCCTGAAATCTGGGGGATATGGAAAGTTTGAACTGGACAGTGAAACAGGTTGGAAGAATAAATTTATTTTTGAAACGGGAAACTATGAAAAATTAACTCTTGGAAGAAAGACACATTTTCCCTGTACAGTAAACTACGGGTATAACGAACTCAAAGGCACCACTGATTTTAATTCGTAATAACTGTAGTTCATTATAAGCATATATACAGCATATATACAACAAATGAACGGGACTAAAAAATAAGTTTGTTATATCGGTCAGTTTGTTATAAGCGTGTTCGCCATAAACATAGTTTACTGTATTCATTTTGGAGTTTGATTTGATTAACTATTGTTTTTTAGTTATGCATGAAGATATATCAAGATACAGAGGTTGAATATGTCTGCAGCAACCTATACTGGTAGTAATGGATCTCAAGTTCCAACTCAGTGATTTGTTTGATTGTGTGTCATTATACTTTGACAGCATGGATTGTTGCTCATGATATCAATCACTGATTTGTCTGGTCCAGATTTGACTCGAAAGTCGGGAGCCGAAAGCTTGAGATTACGTATATTTAAATATAGATATATAGTTTGAATATAATCTTCTAAAACTTATTTTATATTCTTCTTCCTCTGACGAATATTATATAGTGAAAACTTGTTAACTAAAATTCCATTCAGTCAAGTATATTTTTTAAATGAGGTAAGGTTAAAGTTCATCAAGATCTGTGATATAGGCCCTACGATAACATATTGTAGGTATTTGATAAGTTATTAGTCGTGATAGTCGATAGGAGCGCTTATGGATGACAACGGACCAGGGTAACAGTAAATCTCTCATCCTTGTGATGTTTGTTCTGTTGAAAGACGACACTGTGTCTGGATGTCGAATATTAGTGCAACAATCAGGAATGTAAAAACATGTGCCATGTAAGGCAAAAATATACGATTCAAAATATGTTAAATGGCACCCGTTTTGTCATGTGAAAAAATATTTCCTTGACTTCTTTTGAGTAGTATATTTCTTTTTACATACAAAACTAATTGGTAATTTGTTTCGTTTTAAGATAATTCTGAATCCGAATAATCCAAGGCTAAAAAATTAATAGTGAGTCTTGGTTGTCAGGCACTGCCCAGCCCATCATAAAGTATACCGCACATTTCGTTTTTATTTCCATTTTCAAAAAATATAAAAATCCTAATACTTAAAGACAGTGCATTTAAATATAGCATACAGTTACTTCCCTTTACATGCGCACTGCTCTACTGCACATCTCGTGTTATGGTGATGGCAGCAATAGGAGTTTGTATGCTTGTTTATGTAGGGAGGCCCTTTCCCAGGTTGATGGTACAAAACTGTTTGTTTGGTCAGATATTAGTTTCAACAAGCTAAAAAAAACCACCGCCAGCTCTAACTTTATTTTCAAAAGTCATTGTACGAGAACCATTTTATTTATTTTTTAAGCCCAAAGTAATATGTTTTCGCCACACAGTATAGTAGACGACAAGCATAACCAACACTACGTACATTGCAGTGTATTCAGAAGAAGAAATATAAATCTGAAAGATGTTTTTTGTAATACCATGTTCCGCACCTACCTCCCAGTTTTCATATATTAAAATAACGTTTGGAGAACAAATAATAAACTGCCAGGCCAAAGAGAGTATACACCCATGTTTGATGGTGACCAAAAATGAAACAAACAAGAAATGTTATTTGATGGTGATGTATTTGGTGTAATGGACCATAAATTTACAGTGTGTCTGAGGCTGTTTTCTGTTATGTTTACATTTATATTTGTTTTGGCCAAATCCAAGGTTCAAGTGTATATTTTCTTTTTCCCGGCAGTTTGTGTATGTATTGATGTACACAGAGAAGGAACACATTTAACAAATAGGTACATTCTATTTCAATATGTATATCATGGCTGGCTTCTGAGAGAGTCTACCATTGTTAAACCATTATGATGATAGTGACGTTTTGTTAATGTTATTAATTTGTGGGCCAAAACCAGTTTTAAATGTATACTTTCTATTGCCTGACAGTTTATGTATATTATTTATTCTGTTCTTATTTTTATTCCCACATACTGACTGCATTCTTCACACACAAAAAAGTCTGTGACCAAGGAAGAAAATGTGTGACCTAATGATTGTTATGTGTGAGCGCTGTGGTTCCAGGTGTGTTGAGTCTGTCGGAGAACATCCTGCGAGAACCTGTGCTGGGGACCTACATCCTGCATGTCGAGGCTCTGGACAGTGGGGAGGGCCGACTCTCCGGGGACACCAGCGTCACCATCAGGGTGCCAGTCAACTCCCCGCCCACCATCACAGACAGCTTCACCTTTGCTGTAGAGGAGAACAAGCCTGTGGGCAGTGTAGTAGGGGAGGTAACTCTGGACGACCCAGACACAGCATCAAACCCATATGAGAAGTTTGAATTCACTGTCACAGATGCACAAGGTGAGATTCACTGTGCTAGGCTGAATTCATATTGCTTCATGTGTTTTGTATTTAACTGGCATACCTAGTAAACTAACTGTACACAATTATATAATCTTTTTCTAGCTGTTTCATAATGTATTACATTATGGTTGTGCTCATATTTGTCACAAGGAAATTCTTTAATTTAGAAATAATATAGATGCCTTTCAAAGACTTAATATATGTTTCTGAGCTTATATAGGCAGAATAGGGCATAACTTATCACTATTGGGGTGGTGTGTGTGTGTGTGTGTGGGGGGGGGGGGGGATCAAAATGGAAATATAGGTTCAGGGGATTATGAAAAAATACTTTCAGGGAAAATGATAAAAATACTTTCAGGGTGATATGAAAAAAATACTTTCAGGGGAAATGACAAAAATACTTTCAGGGCTTCATATAAAAAATACTTTCAGGGGAAAATGACAAATGTTCATTGGCACAATCATGACATCATAAGACATAAAAATAATTCTTTGGTTTGTAATTTGTTAAATAAAGAGCAAAATATATCTTTTCATATTAGTGACATCACTGATTGTTGTGGCAGTGTGGTATAGTGGTTAAAGCGTTCACTTGTCATGCCACATGGGTTCAATATCAATCTCTTTAAAATCAGACAGTTCTCACTACCGCTAAACAAAGATCTGAAGACATCCCATATGGGGTCACGTCAGAACGACCTTTCATCCGACCAATCAGTGTGTCGCTTACCAGATTATAAAAGTGACAGTCGGAATGTGATTTCTAATCATGCAATCTCAAAAACTTTAAGATGGGGTATTCCGAATGATAGTTACGGGTTTAACAACTGAATCCTTAAAATCTAGACCATCTATTAACCATTCCAGAATGTTTTTTTGTTCAGGTTTCCAATTTGTAATCGAGAATTTGTCAAAATATGTTTCGAAGCGTAGTCGCCAATTTGAAATTAGTGCCGTAAAGCACGAGAAAGCTGCCTTCTGATTGGACATTCCATTGGTCGGTCAAAGTTCGTGCAAGGTCTGTCTGACGTGACCCGTAATGGGATGTCCTCAGATCTTTGTTTAGCGAGAACTAAGATCTGACTTTAATGAGATTGGTTCAATATGGGTTCAATATAATATGTCCATTTCTGGTGTTTCCTGCCCTGATATTGCTGGAATGTTGCCAATAGCGGTATAAAACCATACTCACTCTCCCAGTCCATCAGTTAGTCCTGGTGTCATTACTTTCAGCACCATTTGAGTTCCGAAGGAAGACCGGTACCCTGACAACCAAGAGGGGTTTGGACAGGGAGAAGGAGGACTACCTCACTGTGCCTGTCCGAGTGGTCAACCCAGGGGCACCCTCCTTCACAGTGACCACTACAGTGACCGTCGCAGTGACCGACGTCAACGACAACATTCCGGTGTTCAGCTCTCCGTCAGGTTATGTGGCCTCCATGATAGAGAATACAGTGACCGAGTTCCTGGAGATGGTGAGCGACACAGACCACATTACATGAGAAATCTAGGATGCTATATTTATAGATGCAAATTCCAAAATACAAAAGCTTATTTTCATGTTTATAGGAAAGAAGCTTTTTTGCGATACGACACTGAAAAAGATATTGCTTTCAAGACAGGTCATGAGTAGAAATTCTATGGTGATGGATGCTGTATCATCAACTTTTTGAAAATGAGGAGCAGCTTTCATTTTTAATTTTAGTTTTATACTTAAGACTTTAATGTTTGAGACCATGTACTTTCCTGCACTGCAATATGATATACAAACTTTAATAGTTTATGCATACTTGATATATGCAGTATGTTTGTATTACTAGAGTGAATGTGTGAGTGAGAATTATGTTATTTTCTGTAAAAAAACTAAGATGTACAGATAAGTTGTGCTGTATGTCATGGGCTTTCTGCTACTCTGGGTGTAAGCACATTTTATGTAACACATACTTCTTTTTAAAAACAATATTAAAAAAAAAGAAAGAAGAAATCTAGTATGTGTGATATAAATAGGTTATCAGGTACAAACATTGTAGTGTTTATTCCTTATATGGGATATTCAAATATATAACCTCTTTATCACATAATGTCATTCTTAAATGCTATGATTGAAGAATGTATTCTCATCTCTCATAAATGGTACCTAAGGTTTGCCTGGAATGTGTGCTTAAATATTATTACATCACAAGGTCAGAGATTAGCAAGTCAGACAGTGGTATAGGCTGAATAGTTCCATTGCTTGGAACCAAGAAGGACTTCTTAATGGAACTGTGACTATTATTCCAGTAATTTGTCCAGATCCCTAAGTGTCAATTCTCACTTGATCTCCGATACTAAAGTAGCACATACATGGAGCATTGCTCGTTTATCTGGAAATGACCAATGGATATGTTTTCCTCTGAGAATTAAGTCCGGTCAGATCTAACTAGGAAATGAGTTCTGTTGGGAGTTAGAATGTTCCAGAATATTGTGAAACCAGTTTTCAGTGTGTGTGATATTAATTCCCTGTTACAGGAATCACACTAATGTCAGTGCAGTGTGCTGAAGTACTACATTCATTTCCAAAGTTCTCTACATTGTCTCTAGGTTGGTTACAAGTATAGTCCAATAGTAAATGGGTGGATAATGAGTTAAATCTCATGCAAAGCAGGGGAAGTATGTTGTTATTTGTCAGAGGATTTTTGGTTCAGTATAGTCAATAGAAACCAGGCGAAACATAGAAAGATGTCAGTCAAGTGTAACTGAAGGGGATGTATGTTCCTTGTTCGAATTAGCTCTGGTAAAATTGGTTCCCGTGGAACAAAATTACTACAAATAAAGTTCCGGAGGTCTCGGGTGGTTTGAGCACTCTATTACCACAGCCCAGAATCTCTATAATTCTCGAGGTACTTGCCGCTGGAGCGAGCCCAGGAGTCTGTATAATTCTCGAGGTACTTGTCGCTGGAGCGACACTGCTTTATAGGTTGTGTATGGGGTGGAGTACCTTATCTGTATGTAGCAGGGTACCTTATATTCTTCCTATAGTTATATCATTATTCATACATCATCATCATAATCATCTATATGTTCAATGTTTGTCTTGTCTACAGTTGAATATCAGTATCTAACTCTTTAAACAACTCAACACCCTTATTTTCAGTCTCTGGGAATCTCTCACCAGATCTTCCCCTTCAACCTTCTGTCTATCTTTAGACATTTTTTACACCTGTAGGGTTTCCCTCAGTCTATTTATATCTTGCATTAAGCACTTCCTTTGATGCTTAATGCAATCTGTCTTCTAATTGGCCACCCTGGTCCTCTACAGGTAGCTTCCTTCCATACCTGACTTCCTCCTCACTTCATGTGCTGCTGTTGAGGAGGAAGGACATTTTCTTTTCTTCAGGTATGGAATGGCCATATTTCAATCTGTTTTCATCTGCTTCTGTCAGAAATTAATATCTATATTAGGGTGCTGAATTAAATTGAATAATATATATATAATATCATTTAAAGTAATATTAAATTAGTAAATGGAATATTGATATTATAAAACTTGCTTGTAAAATAATTAACCACATGGTCCATTTTGGACCATGTGCTTTCCAAGTATCCTATAATGAACATATAACAGTAATTTAACATTAAAGTTAGTTTTAGTATAGTTTATCAATGGCTTTTGTACTTTTATATTTAAGATAAATAATACCTGTAAACTTGCAAATATATGACTTCATGTGCTGCTGTTGAGGAGGAAGGACATTTTCTTTTCTTCAGGTAGTTCTTCAACAGCAGCCACCCCCCTTGAAATAAATCCATTATCACCATCTGCCTGTGTCTGTGTTTCCCAACGGCCCGAGCCGAATAAATACCACTACCCCGGCTACAAATTTGGCGCCCAACGTGGGGCCGTTGGCTGTCACTCTGGACACAGGCTTCATCAACTTCATCGTGTTCTGGGGGTAATCCTTCATCACTGTTGAAGGATTCTTCATTGAAGATTCAGGATGTTTCTTCCATGCAACTTGTGGAAGTTTTGTGTGTAGCGTTGAGCTATAACTCTGACTAAAATTTAATCTTGATCCTCAATCGTCAGTGATCTACACTTTGTTATGACGTTGAACTTTTCGTCTGCATCAGTGCTAAAATTGAGGTGCTTCCTCCAATTCCTGGAAGTGTGACTTTTATTTTAACTGATTTACATGTATTTGTCATTTTGTTCACACATGAACTTTTGATCTGTGAACTGTGACCATGAACTTTGTTTACATTCTGAACTAAATTTTATCAGAATGTCATTAGTTGACTGTTTCATTGTATATATATATATGCTTGATATGTTCATCACCATTACTTGAACATTTTTGAAACTTTATCTTGTCACACTTGTGATCATCATATTTTCCACTTAGGAAGCACTGTTGACAACTGTAAAGTTGTACAGCTGTGTGACCCACTTGTTGCCATTCTGAGTTATCATTGCAGAATTCTCATTTAATTAAATTCTTATTTAAAATCAACCTATATCTTTACAGAATTTTGATAAATTCTATTTATACTGCCCTTTAACTGTGATAGCTAATTGTGATATATTGTAATTTTCATCTTCATTCAATGAATTTTATTAAATTAATTTGCAGTTTACTGGTATAAGATAAGCCATTTAATTTGTTAAGTCACTTGGATACCTTTTGGCAAAGTAAGTACCCTAAAATAGTTATTTCATATTTCTTACTTTAAATTTCTCACTCTTCTTTCCTGTCTGAAATATTTTTCACTGCTGGGAAATTCCTTATCTGCTCAACTAACATTTGCCATATCATGTCTTGTCCTTGTGCCGTCCTATTCATTCATACCATTTCATCATCTTAGTTCATCATTCAAATCAAAACAAATTCATTACTCTTGTGTTGATTACTTCTCGTTCGCAACTTATATATTGCTTCATACTTAGTTCTTCCTATATATATTCCTGCTCGCAACATTTTGGTAAGATTGTTGTGATCTTTGCCGTAATTGACTTAGTTTATCCTACACATCTGCTTGGTAACCAGATTGTGGTAGCTTAGTCATGTAATATTTCTTATTACAACAAGTGGTCAGTTGTTCTTACACCTACCTTGCCACTTACCTTTTTCGTATTACTTACCTTAGCAAACTAAAGTTGTATTTTTCCCTTTTGTTCTGGAGACTTTGTCAGATACTTCGTATTTTGGTATTTGGTTTCTGCTTTTCCAGTTTAGCTCAGTGAGGACTTTTGGTTCCCTTACTTCTATTTTTGGCTAGCTGCAGTTCATTGTTCTTGTACCTTGTGGTGCACTAGATGCTGAACTTCAGACGCATCCATTTTGTATCCTTTGGTGAGGAGCTCATAGTTTGTTGATGTTCAGATGTTTGTTGGATCTTAACTTGTGAGATTCTTGTCGCCTTTTAGGAGGTACTTCAGTTTTGATAGTGTCATATAGTTCATATTCCTCTCATATCAAACATCCTTGCACTTTAGTTTGTATCACCATGGCTGAAGCTAATGTAAGTGGGGACCCGGAGGTCGATGTGGTACTTAGCTGCCTTCAGCATCTGCATCCTTCGGTCCGCACTGGTGTGCTAAATAGACTAGCAGATGATATTGCAAATCAGCTGCAGCATCCCAATACGACATATCGTGTTACTGGTACTGGTGCACCAGGTCTTGGGTTGTCCAATACTTACACTATTCCACCTACAATATATACCAGTCCTAGGGTGGCATTACCTGTTCACTCCCCTAGGCCGGTACCTCATCTGCTTAGTCATACGCCACCATCAAGGTCACCTATGCCCACAGGTTCTGAGAATCTGTTTCAGATTTCTCCGGCGACTGTGAACCTTAGTCCTATGATGGACCTACCAGCTTCACTGCCTAGGCCTCATGGTTCAATTTACAACTTTGTTCAGCCTAGGGCAACTTCTACACCTTACCTGAATAGTTACCCATCACAACCTTCACACACACCGCATGAGTCTTGGCCTAGCCGCACTATTCCAACACCATATCCAGGTTATAATCCAACTACCTTTTATAGCCATAGTGTAGGTGCTCCTCCTAGACTTGTCACACCCTTTCAGCCTACTTACATGCCCATTATCAATTCTCCCAGTCCACGGTTGTCATCATTTTCTGGGGATGGGACCAAGGGTGAGGTCAAGTATAAGCAATGGCATTTAGAGATTGTTGGGTGTCGTAGGGAGAATGCATTCTCGGACACTTCAATTCTAAATGCCATGCGGAGGTCCGCCAAGGGTTCAGCTGCTGACCTACTTAGTGGGCTTTCAGAAACTGTTACCCTTGACACTGCTATTGAGCAGTTGGACTTAGTGTTTGGCAATGTGATGCCTGGCGAGACGCTTATGGAGCGTTTTTACACTGCCCGCCAGGAAAAGAATGAGTCTGTCGCTGTGTGGAGTTGCCGCCTCCGGGATTTGATCTCCAAGATAGAGGCATCTGGCACTTTACCACACAATGCTG